TTTTAGGTGCTGTTTCTTCACATCACTCATGCTAGATTCTAGCCCAGCTAAAAATTTTAAGCTTGACAAAGGCTCTTTTGGTCTGCAAAGGGGCATATGACTAGTGCTGAGAAAACAGTTAGGAAACCAAGGGAAATTCTCCACTTTTTATGTCCTCTGTGTTATTTGTCAGTTTTCCTCAGAGGAGAAGGAAGTTCTCATCTCTGGCAGTGTTGGACTTAATTCCAGTTTCAATATAATAACCAAATTCAAAGAATATATTTCACCATAAGCAGAGTRTTTTCCTATATGACTGAAAGTCCACTGACATCCACTTACTGCAGCAATTCAAGAGTCTTTCTCCATGGCACTAAATGCACACGGCCTCCAAGCAGCCTTGATTGTACCAACACCTAAAGGAAATCAGAAGCAATTTCTATCTTTGAGATGCAAATAATGTGCGTGTTGATGCAACTTAGAAAAAACCTCAACCAAACAAAAAAACTCCAAATAAACCCAAACCAGCCCCGCAACTGAAAAACAGCATTTGGTCAAAATCAGACTTTAAAAAAATTGTTGTTSATTATGTGTGCCCAGATGCATATTTTCACACTGCAGAATTGCCAGGTACAGAAAAGGCAACATTTAAGATCAAGGCAATTAAAACTTTGCCCATTTTCTGGTGGAAAAATCCAAGAGACAAGCACGGCATTGGAAAAGGTATTTGTGTTGAGCTACTCTAGAGGAAAGGCTTCTTTTGGGGATTGCTGAATATGGCTGCACTTTCCTCACCCTGGAACAGGTATCCTTCGGGGAGCAAGRGGGGACTGCTCACTGTGTCTTTGCCTAGAAGAGCTTGGGGATTGTTTGGTCTGTGTGAAGGCTTTGGAAGCTGCTCACAATGCCTCACCTCTGCCTCACATTCCCAGCAAGGTCACACAAKGCAGGCCTCTGACATTTCACCATTGGATTACTAGAGCCACTTATCTGCAGGTACATAATTGACAGACCTGGAGGTTTCGCATTCCTCCACCCTGTTTTAATGCTGTTTACTACATCATGTTCCAAAACAGATCACAGCTGCTTGGGATGAGGACTAGGGCACTTGTAACAAGTGTGATCCCCTAAGCTCTCTGCAGTCTGGAAGTTCTTCATCTTGTTCCCATTTACATTAATTGTARAAGTGTCATACCTGTTTAATATTTCACTGTATAAATAAAGTTCTTTTGTAGAATTTAATTACCAGAGCTGCTTTGCACTGCTCACTTTATTGAAATTGCCTAAGGCCAAAAGCTGTGATACCCTTTGCTAAGTCATCTCATTAATGACAAAATGAATGTTGTGAATGTTTCCCAAAATAGCATGGTATGGGCACTTGAAGAAACTATTTTTTTTTAATGGAACAAAAAACAAATAGAAAAGGAAGACTTAGTTCAACTGCAAATCCAAGAAATGGGAAATGGACACAATAATTTTTTGTATCCTAAAGTATCTCATKACAGTGAGTGAATATTGTGCCTGTTTGGAGTCCTGCCTTCCAGAGAAAGATGATCTTATCATTGRCTGCACTCATGCACTACAGCCCAGCTTTTATAAAGGTGAGCTAGGTAGCAYTTGAATCCTGCAAATCTAAAACCTACAGCATTTTAACATCATCACCTTGTAAGGCAACCTGGAATAGACAAGATGTCAAAGAAAGAGGCACCTTAGAACCTATCTCTTTGCCAAAAGTTATCCTGCCCAGATGCTCAACTGGAATAGCCAGATTGTGAAATGATGCTGGGAAGTCTTCTGAAACATCTGAGTGTCATGTTTACTGAATATGCATCAGAGGCTTTGGTATTTGGGTCATCTTAATGCTTTGATCCTCTGGTCCTGTGTCATTCTTTCACCATACACACTCGTTCTATTAATGCTTTATCTCATGCTGTGGGCCTTTAATGCTACTGCTTGAAAAACCCCCATTTGGTTGTAAGTGGGTTGACTCCGTGTGACTGTTATGAGGGGAAGACTTATAAACCATTTGTGTCTTAGACTGTTATTTTTAGGTGTCATTATTATTCCTAATTTTAGGATGCTAAGGTGCTTTTAAGAACTCATTATGTTCCCCATATGCATGTGAGTGAGTCACAAAAATTAGTTTGGATTTAAAAAGCAAAAATTCTAGTTCTTCTTATACTGTTATGGCTAGGCTCTAAAAGACCTTATCTGGATACTTCGAAAAGTAAATAARTAAATATGATGGTTTTTAACTGCTCATTCTTTGACAATCTGAGGGTCAGTTTTGTTTGTCTTCTGAATGGAATAGAAACTGGTCTCCAGGTTTTTTTTAGATCCGTGACTCTTCTGAAAGACTCGTGCTGTCATTTAGCATGAATGTTCATATGCTTGGAATTCTTCCTGCAGTTATAGTCAGATGGTGTCAGCTCTGTGTAATTCCAACCCTCCTGTGATGACTGGATTCACTCACTAAAAGGAATCCTGCAGGCACTCACAAAATGATCATTTTAAGYGCTCTTCAGATTATCTCTCTATTCATTGCTGTTCCCCTTCCATATGGCTGGAAAGGCACTCAGTGGTGCTTTCAGTGGAACTCAGTCTCTCCATGGCCTTGAGCAGGAATGTCCATCCTTCTCTAATATCCATTTGGCTTCCTAAATTGGCAATTTGGCAAYGAATGAATGCTATGCAGAGGACATGAGAAAGATTCAATGTCTGTATTACCCATTATTCTTTGCTGCRAAGTCTTATACCAAGTATTTTATGTAATTTCAATGAAAACCCAAATCCAAACAAACTCCACAATTTATTGTCAAACTAAACTTTTGTTTTCTTAGTTTAGAAATCTTTCTGATTTCTGCACAAGACAGCCCTTGTGGGAGCCTATGGAAGTTATTTCCTTGCCCATTATTTAAAAGCTTTCATATTATGTGTGCGGCTGGATAAATTATATATAGGTAAAATACTGAGGGTTTTTGTTTTAAATTAACATTTTCAGTAATAAAGGTGTTTCATGAGTTCAGACCTGCACTGCAAATTGGGCTTTATTTTTCTGCTTTCTTCACATGTGGATTAAAATTAGGCTTTATGGTTTTATAAGGGGCTTTTTTTTTGGAGGGCTTTYATTAAGCTGAAAACAATAGTCAAAAGGAGTAAACAAATGCAGGATTGTTCTAGTACTGTTTCCCCAGCACATGATATTCTAATAATACAGAAGTACCTAAAACTATTTTAAGTGTCAAAGAATTTCTGTAAAATTAACTCCTTTAAATTTGTCTACAAAGCTCCCCTGAAGAACTTTCTTTAATTAGCTGTATGGATTTTGAACAGTCTGGGATTCTGTGTCAGCACAGAAAGGYCAGCACCTTATAAAGAGGAAAACATTTTTAAAATACTTTCTACAGGAGTGTAGACTATGGACAAAAGTGAATGTGGTGTTGATAAATCAAAGCCAAGGGGAGGAGCATCCTGTAGCCCCAGCAATATAACCTGSCATGCTTCCAGCCTTCTCTAGGACTGTTACAGCCCATTTTTGTCACCTTTGTTACTTCTTCTCCCTCATACTAAATTTCACTTTTAGAGGGATGTGCTGGGCAGAGAAAGCTGGTGCTGGTCAGAGTTCCAGCTGCAGCAAATAGCACATGGCCTCAGGCCACACAGCCCCAGCCACATGATTTTATGATCTAAGGGACTTTCCTGTGATCACAGGAGGTTTAGCTAACACCCTTACTGCTCCTTGCCTCCCAGGGAGCAGGGGAGGTCAGGATTTGATCCAAAACCAATAAAAGTCTGTGGACACAAATCTCATTGACTGGCACTGGTTTGCGTAAAATGTGATCACCTGAAACAACTGCTCTCTTAAAGTCTCCACCTTGCACCCCGCAGTCCCACCAGCCCTCAGCAGGAATGTGTATGCCAGGGCCTAGCAGGAACACAGTTAGGCCCTGTAGAATTTTCACAAAATAAAGATACACCAGACTTATTTCATTTCCTAGCCCAGCCTCCTGCTCAAGGCAGGAGTGCTGGCAGTGCTGGACCAGGTCAGCCATGGTTTTGTTTAGCTAAGTCTAGAGAACCTTTAAAGGATGGAGATTCTGGAACCTGAGTGGCCTATCCCAGCTGGATAACTGCATTACCCACCTGGTGAATTTTTTTCTCTAACACCTGGCTAAAATCTCTGAAGCAGAGACATCTGCCTATGCCACTGATGGTTATCTGCCACTGTGGAGAGGAATTTACCTGTATTCATAGCTGACATCAAGCAGCTGTATGAATATCATCAATATCCCCTCAGGCTCCTGCACCTGCTGCAGCCAGACCAGCCCTCACAGCCTCTCATTGTCAGGTGTGTGCCCCAGGGCCCATCTCCATGGCTGTGTGTGGCCTCCTCTCCAGTTTGTCAACATTTTCCCTGAACTGAGGGCCCTAGAGCTGACTCCAGTGTTTCAGCAGAAACCTCACCATTTCTGAGTACTGAGGCACAGTGACTTCTCACTTCCCTGACTGCATTTCTAATGCAGCCCAGCACGTAATTTTGTCCTCAAGATGAGAGCACACTSTTRGCTCATGRGCAGCCTGACTTTCACCCCAAYCCCTACATCCTCTTCAGCAGGGCTKTTTGACAGCCAGTTGAACCTGACCTCTCTGTAACCAACAGTATCCTAAGTCTGCCCACCCTCTTACCAGAAACACAGCATTTATTTCCTCTTTTAAGATCAGCCTGGCTTAAAAAGTTTACAGGGTTTTTAACTTGTGCTGCCAGCTTGACCCAYGGCAGAGATCAGCCTTGGCTGCACAGTCTGTGCACAGCTCCACATAATTCCACACCTGGGCTGTATCCAATATGGTATTTTACAGTTACACACCTTTCCCTCTTGCTATTCCTCATTGTGAAAAAACAGCTGTCCAAGTTGTTTTTCTGTAATCGCTCTCATCTGCAGTCACTAAAGAGTTACATTTTGTATTTCTGACCAGGAAATGTTGAATGTTTGCAGGCAGCCAATAAAAGGAGAGATCAACAACCAAGCTGACTCACCGGCAGGAAAACTGGAGCTGGGTTTGAATGCAGTTCAAAGCTGACTCGCACTYGGTATCCACAGCAGATTCACTCCATCATTCCATAGTTTTTATGTTCGTATTTCCAGAGGTAAGTTGATTTTTATTTCCAGTTTCTTTCACTGAGACATCTGTATATTAACCTAGAGTTTCTCTCATAGAAAGGAAGCATCTTTGCTATTAATTAATTTAATTACCTTATAATTAGAAACTTGGAATAAATGGCTTTCTAGCAGTCTTCTTCATGCCCCTGCCTGTACAGATGGGGGAGGATGGCAAAGTTATCCAAGACTATGAGTGTCTTACTGAAAAATAATACAAACCCTTTCCTTGCATAGGTCACCTATGGAATATTGGTTTGGGGGCTTGAGAATGAGATTTTAAAAGAAAAAGCATTCAAAAGAGCAGAACTATTGACAGAATGCCTTGGTACCTTACAATACAAAGATGTAGAAATTTGGACACAGGGAGAATGGTGCTTAGCCAAATCACAACATGGTTTGTAACTCTAAAGATTGAAGTGGTTTTCCTTTCGATTTWAAAAAAWCYCTAGTTATATTAGATTTCGCAAATYRAAAATAGGAGCTGATGATTAGCTTCAATTTTTATCTAAGTGGCCAGTTAGCAAGAGTTTTAAAAATGCTTATATTATTACTTCATTCAATTTTAAATAAAAGTACATACTTTCAGGAAAGGTTTAGATGGTAAAATCATTATTTTACTTTCCTTGTACTACGTTTGGAGTTGAGGTATTTTTTGCTCTTTAAATTATTATATTTTGCTGTATCTCATAAAAATGAAACATGATTTTGCTTCTGCCAGCCTTTTGATTACCTCCTTTATATTCAGTATTGGTAGATTTGTGKGGTCTGTCTTTGCAACTTTAAGGAACAAATGGCTCATTTAGAAAACTATCTTCTTTCAGAAGAACCTTTTCAAATTTTATGAAATTGTTAACCTGTCAGCTCCATATCTTCTTAAAGGTAACTCCCAGAAAAGYACCTAAGGCAGTTATTGCTTTCAAACTACAATAACCTAACAGAAAGCAAAAAGTTCAACTGTGGTTTCCTATCAGAATCAAATATGGTTGAAGTTGAACTGGTAAATCAGCTGCTGCTTTTTGCATTTTGGTTGTGGTTAGAGGCAAAACTGAGCTTAGATTGTGAACCTGCCTGCAGGAAGAGACTGAGATTAACCAACAATAAAGTGTTCATGAACTAGAAGCAGTTCAGCCAAGATCACAGGCAAAATTAGCTTCAGGCTTTTGTTTCTATTTTACTTGTGGAGAAAAGGTTATGTGGACTTTGAGGCCTTCTGCATCCCAGGAGGACTTCTTGTAGAGCACATGTARAAGGACACAATTCTCACTCAACAGTCCTTCACAATCACTTCAGTTCCCTTGCRTTTTCTTTTCTAGCCCTGGGCTACTGGACCCCAAAGGGACTATTGCAGTTTGAGGAGTTTTGACTCACTGACCACTGATCTTGCAGTCATCCTTACCAGTGCCATCTGTTTTATGCCATCTGTTATCTTAGATTGCTTATTCTCCTCCTTTACCACTCACTTTTTGGCTCTCTCCAGTCTAATGGAGCTTCMCAGATGTAATTAGAGTAGAACACTGTAATGCTCTGMAGTTGTCTCTAACCCATTGTGTTGSCATACAAAGTGTGCAAGGCRTGCAGCTGGACCTGGAGAGGTCCTGGATAGACATTGCACTGCCCAAATTAGTGTCTCCTGTATAGACACAACTCCATTTAGCAGAATTTTGACAGTTCACAATAGTAGGAAATTTGCCTTTTACTTTGCTTTTGCATTCACACATGGTGTGTGCAAGAATGATGCAGAAYGTGCTGACACGAGTTACTGAATAAYTGCCTTTTTTATGAGAAGTGGAGAAATTATTTGCCTGGCATGCATCTATAAGAGGCTAGTTTGTTGTTTATATAATTCAGTATCACTTTAAAATCACGTTTTATATTATAAATAATGGTCYAACMTTTCAAAGTCATCCAATAGAAACAATGATGAGCAATTAATTACCACCTTGCAGCCACAAATGACAAATGATGGTCCAGACACTCCTTYGCAATTAGTRCATTCTTYCTCTCTTCATAAGGAAAGTCTGACACAGAGCAGTGAAAGAAAAGCTGTTGGGTTTGTTTTCTGGGGAGTAAGGGGTGGTGCAACTTCCCTGTGCTTTGGTAATTGTGACAAAAAACCTCTTAAAACTTTTCTTTTCTGCCACTTTTTTCCCCCAAGGCAGCCATCAAGAAATGGCCAATCCATTACCTGTGGTAGCCCAGGAAGATTTGGAAAGCTTTACCTTGACCAGGACAGGCTCAGGCTTTGCCCTCAAAGCCTTTCATATTTCCTGGAACATCCCCATCTCTGTGAAGCTGCTGACCAGCCAGGACACTACAGACAGGTAYGTGTCTTACCTGCCCAACCAGATGGGCAGCCCAGACCTGCAGTGGTGGCACCAGAACAAATCGTGGCACATCCAGGATCACCTGACCCCTAAKCACACCTCCATTCCTAGATATCCTGACTAGCCAACAGGCAACTTGGAAGAAATTTTACTGAGAAACAAACTCTACAGGTTTTACAATTTTTTATTAAGCAAAGGTTAATCCTGAAGCTGTTAATTATCTACTATACTAATGTCTACCAACCCAGATCAGTAATAMCAGCATGCTATGGTGTTATTTTTCTGGAGGTCCCTAAAGAGACCTCAGTTGAATTGAATCTAAACCAGCATGTACAGATGAGAGCAGAAGAAATGGGAGGAGGGAAGGTAATGGCCAGGGTTACACAGCAGTRAGATGTGGAAAGCATGGAAAGCATGGAAACACATAATTTCCTTATAAATGTGGATATCACTCATGGCAAAAGAATACAAGTTCTTGGGAACAATAAAGGAAAAATCCTTGTTTTATTCTTAATCTAGCATTTAATATACTCCAGCTTTTTCCTGCCTTCACACTTCAATCCTGGTTCAAACCATGCTCTTATGTTCCTATTAAAGCATCCAGAGGTCTTTCATTTTAAAATAGAAAAATTAAATTTATATTAGAAAAATACACTACAGTATGACTGCTTCATGTTCTTATAATTGTTTGGAAGATTATATGATATTTGGTTTATTGGTAAAATAATACCTGCTTGTATTCAACCACATGGTTCTCTCTCATATCCACATCCTACACTTCATCTCTTGCTGAAGTTTTCTTCAGTCTAACCTCTCTAACTTTTATATTTTGCAGGGAGTGGAAGTCGCTACTTCAGGACATAGCAAGTGTCAGACACTGTGAGTCTGAACGTGTCCTGCCTTTCCTTGGGATTTACCAGCACCACAGCCTTGTGGGGATAGTGACTGAATGGATGAACAATGGATCCCTCCACTCGCTCATCCATGAGGTAGATAAAAGATGTCATCTTTGAGGTGGTAAAATTAATTACAAGATCAGCCAACAAAGAACAATCAGCATGTAAATGATGGACAGCAGCCACAATCTGTTCTTCAGTTTCTGCTTGTTCTTCCATATTGTAGCTCTGTTTGTTGTCAAATATAAATGTGAATAGTAACAATTTCCCATCACCAAAACCTGTATTTTGTGTTACTTAGCATCAACTGTACCCAGAACTTCCCTTTCCCCTRCTCATAAGGATCCTSTYGGATGTAGCTGAGGGGCTGCATCATCTTCACAGCCTTGAACCTGCTCTCTGCCACTGCAGCCTGAAACCTTCCAATGTGCTTTTGGATGTGCAGTACAGAGCCAAGGTGGGAGCTTCTACTTTTAGTCCAGTAATGTAAAATCCAGTGACTGTTCTATTGTTGCATATATTGATCTTAATAGTCAATATTTAATACCAAGACTTGATGTATTGTTACTAAAATCACTTTGTCTCCCATTTCTCTAGATATCAGATTATGGCCTAACCAGCTGGAGGAAACAGCAACTGAGGTCAGACCTGCAGAACTGTSATCAGAGAAACTGCCAGGATTTAGTGTATCTCCCTCCTGAAGTACTTGAAGGAGGCCTTCCTTCCCAGGAAGGTGATATTTACAGGTGAGTGGAGTTTCTAAAAGCACATCGTATCTAGTCCACGCTCTACTCCACAATGCTGCCAAAATACTTATCTTCAAAGACATCACAGTAAAAATGCCAGACCTACATAATGCAGTAGGATAGTATTCCACATGGGGCCAATTACAGCAGTGAATAAAATTTTAAATCCCCATATTTGGTGAATAAGATATTAAGGTTAAGAACTGTTCTCAAACTCAGTCATATAAATATTTATATAATGGACCTAAATGTTTTTAAAGTGTGACACAGCTGCCAAAACTTTCAGATATATTTAGAAGCCTCATAACTGCTTCACACAGTTTAACTGTGAACTGTCATTGGCTTTTGTTTCAGAAAGAATTGTTTATGCCTAGATCAGGCCCAGGTAAAAATAAGACCTTTCCCTCAATAGTGTCCCATTAAGGTCCTRTGGAACTCTGCTGGGATAACTGAGCCACTCAAGCATTCATACTTTTTAACAAAGGGATTTATACAAAGGAGGGAGATCACCTACTGCCACATATCCATTTGGACATGTTACCTGCATTGTGGTTGCCACAATAAATGAGAGGACTTCCAGTTGTGACTGGTCTGGATGGACAAACATCATCATGACCAGCACACAGAGCTGTTGGCTAATACTACAAATAACTTTGAAGGAGACCACTCTTCTGATTTCTGAGCTTTTGTCAAACCAACAAATTTAARCTCCTGCTTTATTGTCACAGAGGCAGGGTCTAAGATGAATCAAATAATTCACAGACTTGAAGAGACCTATAAATGATGTGACTAAACTCATRTTGTTCTCAAACACAAGTTTTGCACAGGAAGAGTGGAGTCTTACTTTAATGTAGCATAATTAAGTTTCCAAAAATATAGTAATATGCTCAGATGTCACTCAGGTGCATGAGAGGTGTGCATCTGTACAGWGGTGCAACAGAGAAAACAAAAGTTTGTGTCATACATGAAATAAGTTACACATACATTCGCATTACATTAATGCTTTCCTACAGAGTGTAAGCAAAAGCACTTCCAGATTTTCATGTGAAAGGCAGAAGAGGGCGCTCCTTTAAATACTGTAGTCACTACCGCGATATCTATAAAAAAGCAGATATGTTTATCCTAGAACTGCCTCTTCCCCTCTTGCTTGCTTTGCTTCTGACTCATCTGTGGACTGTTYTGTCTCTTCCAGCAGCCTCCTTTCTTCTGCCTCTGATTTTGAAGATCGTTCTTTTATCACACAACTGTATTTTATATCGCCTGAGTTGTGGGTTATGTATAGATCTATGCTAACACTGTAATTATTACTATTATTAGGATGTTAAAAAAGGAAAAAGGTATTCGTATCCCCAACAAAATTTKCTGAAGAAAATAGAAACATAGTGCATAAGAATCAAGTTTTTGTATATTAACTGATGTGTTTGTTGGTACCCACTGAAAAATCCAGTTGATACTGAAATTACTTGAAAACAAAACAAAAAATATAAAAGAGAACAGAAGGTTCCAAAATTCATGAGACCAAATGGAGATAAGGTGTTAACCTGAAATACAATTCTAATGGAACCTAGTTTCAGGAAGCTTTATAAAAAAATTTAACTGATGATTTCRTAAGAGCAACTCAGTTGAAAACWGAAAAAAAGATCTCAACAAATTARAAAAGACTTGGAAAGACTTTGTCTTGAAAAACTCCATCTCTCAAAGCAATAAACTTGCTCTTGGAAATGAAAACATAGAGATTGYAAACCAATGAATGGTGTTTCACTGTTTTGTTGTGGTTTTTTTTTTCAGCTTTGGAATCCTGTGTTGGGAGACCCTAAGCAGACAGAAACCTTTTGAAGGTATTTATTGTTCATGTCAGACTTTGTATTGTCCAAATCTTGTCAACAGATTTGTCACATGACTGCCATCTTCAGGYTGCTCAAAGTGGATTTTTTTAAAAGTTTTTTTTTCTGCAATTCTTATTTTTGTTCTATTCTCATAATGCATGTGTAAGGCTTTATATAAAACTCTGCTTAGAACAATAACGGATTCCTGAGGTATCTGTGCAWGTAGTTTACAGAACAAATTTACATAATAATTTGTGATTCAGTATTTGGACAGAGTTCTTTATCCTGAAATGTCCTGCTGCAATAAGTACAAATAGCTWTTGTTAAAGCTTAGCACATATATTTACAAGAGTATTAATATATTTTTCCTTTTAAAAAAGCAGTCTTTGTTTTAAAATACACAAAATGACTTATACTGCATGTAATTTTAAGAGTTCTGAGGAGTTTAATATTTTTTTAATTTGTAGGTCAAACAACCCTGCTTGATGTTTTGAGAGGAATCTGCAGCAGTTTGCGGCCAGGCCTTTCAGAAAAGTTCATACCAAGCAATTTGCCTGAGAGGAATACACTGCTGCACCTCATTGCYCTGTGCTGGCACCAAGAACCAGATTATAGACCACAAACTGCAGGTAACATTCAGGATTTGCTTTTTGTGCAAGATATGTAATGGAGACAGTCTTTATWGGAGCATTGCTCTACCACTCTCAACAACTGAAGGTGGTCTTTAGCAGAATACCTTTGATGTTTCCTCTAACTGAAGCTTCCCACCAGAAATGGACTTATTTGTCTCCAAAATTTTGTTTCCTATAAAGTATGAGGTGGAAGTTCTATAAAACTAATTTCCTCTACTTCATCCAGTTTCTCAATATAATAGTAAAGTTATTTGCAATATGATGATGCCTAAGYATATACATGCTTTCCTGCACAATGTGGTATTTAAATGTTTTATTACCCCTGCAGAATGTGTAGATCTTCTAAATGGCGTTTTGACTAGTATAAATAAGGRGATGATCTCTGCAGCAATCTACAATTTGATGGATGCAAAGGTCAGTGCAAAATTTCTTGTTCTTCTACAATGGCATTACTTAATTTTTTCAATTGTAATTTTTGTGATCCAAAACCAGGAAAGGTTTTGTTCTAATTGTTTTAATGGATATACCAGAGAGATGGAGAGTAWCCTTTGGCACTTCAGGTTTATTCAGAAATTGCAGAATATATATTGTGAGATTTTCTAGAAAATAAGCCAAATGTTTACCTGCTATTTTAAAACTGTGATAACTTCTTTCCAGTCACCAGTTGGAGTCAGACTGGCAAACTCATGTGAGTGAGAACAAACATCTGCTCAAATACTGCTAGATTAGGGCTAGAACCAAGGACAATATTTTTCTGTGCAGYGGTTAGAAACCATTTAGTTCAAAACTTAAACAGCATTTGTACCTGTGATAGCAATACCAGTACCAGCTCAGTTCTGTGCCCTTCACTGCCTCTAAACTGCCAGGTGTAAAGGCACAAGACACTGCTCATCCTGGGGTCTCAGGGGCTCTCTGATTCCACTGAGAGRATAGAGCTAACTCCGAATATACTTACAATACCATGGAATACCTGGCATAAATGTGACTGCCACCAATATATAGCTACATCCTAGCTAATTAACTTAGGCACTGTGGGAAAACAATGACACACGTGTTTTGGCCCTTGAACAAGGACGCAGAGTCTAGCTGGAGTTACACAATCCATGCTGTGTTGTTTATTTCATTACTGTGTGTTGTGTATGCATGCTGGATTATTTCTATATGTTGCAATCACATTCTGGGCTTATAGAATAGACTTGATCAATCTTTTAACAGGTGGCATAGTTGGAGTCAAAGTCTTACTTTACTGCTGTTGAAGTTTCTTTAAGATTGCCCAAATACTTCATAATCTAGTGCTTCAATCTCCCCTGAGCAAGGTTTTAATTTTTAATTTGTTAAATTGTGAAGATTTATTTTATTAGTGACCATTATTTGTTATTCAAACAACTGAACTGATAAACACAAAATTATTCTGAAAATTATATTGAAGTTTCTGGAAAATTGATTAATTCACAACTGTTGATAAAATCAAACAATAGGTCAATAAATCTGCTGTGGATGTACAAACTGGAAACAAGTCACAAGTATTGACACATMCTTACTGCAGAGTTTGGCACACTAAAGAGAGAATGGCCATGCTGTCCTGCTCCTTAAAGGAAAACATGTTATAGCTATCTCAATCTCTCTCAATATAGGCTTATTTTCACCTTTCCCTGCACGATTCAAAACCAGGTTTTAAAATAAATATGAAACACCAGAAACAGTAACAGGGTAGAATTTTGTTTCAGATTGTATGCTCATTTGATCTGTGCAATTCACTGTTACCATATATGAGCATCCCTTAGGGTATAATATATATTGTCAGTATAAGTTATGTTAGTATAATTCTAGCTTTTGACAGCTGTGAATGGAACAAACCACATCCACCCTTATTGGAGGTACTGTGCTTTATTTCTTCCAGGAGAGAGCGCTTAATGCATGCAAAGGCTCAGAAACGTACACATTGCAGAGAGTCACRTGCAATTCAGAGGTGAGTTCATGGCACAACAGTCTACAGAGTACTTCATAAGCTGCTTATTTCTCCTGAGAGCCCTGACAATGCATAATGCAAACATCTGGGCAAAACCAGGATAACTCCATCCAACAAACCCCACTGTTTTACCTCGTTCCAAGCAGCTCACTCTGACCTTCCTCTTGCAAAAACAACCCTCTCCTCTTAAGGTTTGTTTTGAACCTCTCCTGTTTAGAAAATGTTTTGGAACAAAAGTTACCAAGGAGATAACTCTTCTCTGTTTTGATCTCTTTCAGATCATCTGTCCACAAAAAAACAACCRCTTAATCAGCAAGAAAATTCCTCTTGTAGTGCCAAGCTTGTCAACTCTTCTATTTGATAGCAGTCTGAATAATGCAGGAAGAGATAATATTGAGATGGGTCTGGCAAATACTACCCCACAGAGTGCAACAGCAATGAAAGGTCTCTATCTTGAATTATATTCAGCTYCAGACATTATAAAAAAAGGACAGATATTTCTCATTGTTCCATATGAAAGGGTATTTTTCATGTAAAATTGTGACTTCTGAGAGTAAAGCTGTGCTCTGTACTGGTGTCATGTGAAACACGAGTTCACTGCAGGAAACCAGAGACACCACAAACCTTTCCGCTTAAATAAATAGATCAAAATACTGAGCTGTAAATGTAGAGCTGCCTTTCTCTCAACATCAAATACTGCCTGTTGCTTTTGACAGAACAAGTCTCTCCTGGGAATCACATGCTTTGTGCCACCGGGAATAACTGCTTTTTTTTTTGTAATTTGCTAATAAATGTTTTAAAAAGGCTAGGCTGCCAGGAATGTGTGAATAAATCCTGATAACCACCATTCCTACACAGATAACTTGCTTTACCTTTCCAATGTGGATTTGTCCTATCCAAATGTTTAAATTTTCTATATTTCTCATGCGTTTGGGTACAAAAGTTGAGACATCAGAAGTCAATTCACTTGTAGCAACACCTGYGTTTCCAAGCACTTTAGTTCTGATCAATAGCCATCAGACAAATGGACAGAGTAAAATGTTCCATAACTTCAACAACAAATTCCTACAGCTTGGAAAAGTCAGATGTGYGTAGCAATTTATGCCAAAAWCTTCCTAGRAATAATGATGTATTAACAAGAGCCAAGGTCATTAGTAAGTGCTCTCAAGCCAGTCTTCAGTTCCAGTCTCCTGCAGTGGCTGACATATATAAAATGTTTTCTTGTTCAATTCAAAGGACTAATCTTGCTCATCTTAAACTTTTTCTAGATCACACAGGTCTTGAGATTAGAAAAACAAGCTGCTGTTGCACAACTCCTTCATCTGGTTCAACCGCGGGCAAAGAGAGCAGTCAGCATAACTCCCCACCACTGGCTTTTAAGCACAGACCACAACCAATGCACCTTGCACAAGCAGTGACAGGTAAGGCATCGTTTCCAGTTTGAGCTGGAGGCATTCACCTTGCCCAGATCTTAGTGATTAAATTGTTCAAAATTTAGAGGACACAGATATTTCTAAATTTTGTGCACATTTTCAGGTATTTAGAGTAATAACTGATTCTAACTTGAYATAAATGTCTATTTGTGTATAGCTGCTCCTCTGTTCTCAGAAGTTCAGGCACTGACCACTATGAACACTGGCTTATTCTTTTCTTCCAGGACCACTGTGGGGCTGAGAACAGTTCTGAAAGGACTGCAATAAAAATATAAAAACTATAGCACACATTGAACGTGAAATAAATTAGTTGTTTAAGTATGGAATATTTTTTTTTTTTTTGCAATCCTAAGCTGTGTATTGCATACCTTTGCAAAAGTAACTATTGACTACAGAATCAATTGACAGAGGATCCTTCATTCCCTCAGTGACACAGCCTCAGGTCTTCCTGCAGAACAGAGGCAGAGAGGGTCAGTCTTTCATTTGTGAAGACTCTTTGCCAGTGGGTGAACCTTTCTGAGGGTTTTTTTTGGCTAACTTTTTTGCAAACTGGCCTTGAACTGTTCTCAGTCTACCCAGCTATCCTTCTCCATGGCCATTTCCTTGAGTGATGACATAATTTCTGGATGAATCAACAGACTAGACCATGCAGGAAAAGTTCATCACAGAACTCTAGTGGCAACAATCAGAAGCCAGAATGACAGAGGCCTGTTCTCCAAAGCAATATGGCTTTTGGTTGTTAATCTTCTCTTGGTTTGTAGTATTCATTGTACACTAAAAAACTTGATGTTAATACTAGGTATTCTAATCAGCTTGTGAAGGACAGAATCCAAAGCTCTTGGCCATTTTGTCARGACAAAAACATTACTTTTGTTACTAGTTTGGCTTGGATATATCTTCATTTTCCCAGTTTTATGCTACATGTTTCAAACACTCCCACTCACTTCAGTACCTGTTATCTGTCTTCCACCTTCACAGGAGAAAGTTTCTCATCTGTGTCCAGCCAAGCTGCTTTGCATAATGTTAAATACAGATGCTAGATGAATAGRGCACGACCTGAAAATCTCCCCTGAYGCAATCTAAGCACKCAGTGGTTTAGAAACCCCTATTTGCTGTAATCTGATCTTCGTGAGTTTCAAACACAAGATGAAAATACTTTTGGCCTAGTTTCAAACATGGAATACAAACTAACTCTTTCTCCTTCCTTCCTCTACTGAGTTTGTATCTMTGGTGTTGATGCTATCACTTGTTAACAGCTTCTGGAAGAAAAAAAGGTATTTTATTTATCTCATTTTGTTCTCTTTTCACTCAAGATCCTTGCTGCAAAGGAAACTGCTGTCGAATACTCGCCTGCCAGAGACAGACCATACTGAAGTGCATGACAGAAGGACGCCTCAACCACATCCTCGATGTGCTTCGCTCCCAGCAAGCACTGTCGCGAATGGATTATGAAACCATCACCTCCTACCCCACAGTGACCGGGCGTGCTCGGGCACTGCTGGACACTTGCCTGTGCCTCGGGGAGAAGGCAGCACAAGCTGTAGTGACTGTACTTTCAGTGAACAAATGGAGTCCTCTGGGACAAGTCATTCATTGCCCAGACTGTCCTTCTAAGGTAAATAGGCTGCTGTTGTGACTTTTTTTTTGCAGTTCGTTGTACTCATCTGAGCTCTAATAATTTGTAATAACAAAGATTCATGTKAATTTCTCATAACCCATTGACTAAMGTCAATTYTTCCTACAGCCCATGATTTTAGTCCTGTAGAGGAAAAAGCTAACCGGATTAAAAGGTCAAGTCAATCACTGCCAACAGAAATTGCAAAAATTGCTGTAACRAATTCTGATTCAGACCTCAGAGATGGGCAAAGTGCAATACGTGCAAGAGAAAACAGAGTTCAAGTGAGATGACATCGTATTTCCTTGATTTTTTATAGAAGGAAGATGAACCGTGGCTTTTTGGAGGTCACTCTATGGAAGAATGGTTGTTTGTAAATCCTTCCAAATAAGGAACAACAGAGTACTGGTTGAGGAGAAAAAATTTACTGCCTTTCACTGAGCTCATATATGAGCCAGCTGTTAGAATGAAAGGATCCAGAGAATCAAGAGATATTTTTTTCAGTAAAGCCTTATATGACTTGGAAGTTTTATATTATGCATAAAAATTATATCCTCACAGTCATATGCTCTGRAAATAYAGAGGTAGTTAACATCAGTACTTTGGAGAGGTAGGACCTGGAGCATTCATTAAATGGAAAAACGTCAATACCTTACATCTGTGTATCTCTCTAAATGAGTCTGCAGTTCAAATGTAAAATTGAACCAGGCAGAAGAGGTGCCAAGCTGACCATTTTCAAACAGTGGTTCTGCTGAACTGTTGTCATGGTTGTACTCAAATGGGAGACAGGATGGGAAGCTTTCTTGCTCTGGCCTGGACTTACCCACGGTCACAGATGCTTCGGAGAGTCCTGCTGCTGCTTGAACTCATCCTCAGGTCATGGACCCTTGGAGTTCACATGGAGTTCCAGCCCGTCCAGTACAGCAGCACGGAAACATTGCTGTTATCAAAATGTTCCCAGGCACAGTGGAGAAAGATGATAAGTGGCACAGCAGGCAGTGAAAGCAACAAAGCAGCCACTAACAAGCACCAGACACTTGTGTACAGAAGGCAAACACGCCCCATGGCAAGCACCAGAGCCTGTCAATAGATAAACAGCAACTGCAGCTGTAAATGGGATCCAGCACACTCCAATCAAATCTCTTGTTACCTTGAACCCTTCAAGCCTCACACCGCGTGTGAGCCAAAAAGAACATTTGTGGTTTAACCCCAGCGGACAACTATGCTGCACAGAACAGCAAAGTGATAAAACTCAAGGGCTGAGATACACACAATTTAACAGATAAAGCAAAAGCTGCACAAAAGCAAAGTGAAACAGGAAAATCATTCACCACTTCCCATAGGCAGGCAGGTGTTCAGCCACCTCCAGGAAAGCAGGGCTCCATCCCACATTATGGTTACTCAAAAAGACAAATGTCATCTCTCCCAATCTCCCCCCCCTTCCTCCTTCTTCCTACTATCTACAGGTATTTCAAATGCAAACCCATGTTATTTGTTTCCCTGTGTTGCTTTTGTTCTCTCTGCAGTTTTAAAGTTCTCATTGAGTTCAGTAGTTTGGCTGATTGCGTTTTTAAATACAGTAATGACGTGTTATCTCACTTAAGAGATAAGAAATTTGTTACATCAGAACTTTCAGGTCCAATGCTGCTGKAACCATAAATGTAATTTATTTTTTTTACATGACTTCATTAAACTTTGAGACTGCCTTGAATTAAAATGTTATTACAATTAAAATCAATGTCTATCAAAATATGTTGACAATAGTTTTGCTTATTAAAGGAGCTAAACTTTTATTTCACAGTTGAATTTTTTTCAATCTACAGTTTAAATGGGAGCTTTTAACAGCCTGCTAAAAAAGAATGCCTTGCTTGTGAGGAAAAGAACTGCTGTCAYGGTGTTTTGACTGTTTAGAAGGCATGAAATACTCAGTAAAACAGATAAACATTTACCTGTGGGAAACAGACTTTTAAAAGAGAAAAGGGCAATATTGTTGAAACTTAGTATCAACTTTCAAAATTATTCCATTTAGTTGTTCTGCTGGACACTTTATATTCCTGTGAAAGATGTGCTGCCTGGCAGGCTATGCTGAATTTTTGTCATTGCATTTTTTGACAGAAACAGATTTGGCTCTTTTYGGGAAGCAGCTGCCTACTTGAGAATATACTTTGATGCCAAACCTATGCCCAGTCCTAACTGTTAATAGAAGAACTGGCATCAAAACACTGTGGGAGTACAACTGTCCAGTGTGGTATCTTTGAAGGGATGCTGCACATTTGTTGAAATAAACTTTTGTTGATATACAAAGGTTTAATAYGAAACTGGAACCAGCATCAATTTTTCTCACCAARAATACTTACTCTCATAAGGCCTGTAACGTGTTGGCTGTGTATCAATGTCTCATGTCACTCACTGGTGTGAAATATCAAACTGCTGAAAGCTTATGGTATTTTGGAACTGCCCAAGCTTGTTCATTAGCTAAGATTTCCATTGTCCTCACCTCTGTTTTCTGCAATTGCCTTGATATTATGAAACACTGTAGAATAAATGGCACTAAGCCAAAGTAAAGATAGAAGAATCAAATTGTTCTTTAGTTTCTATGGGAAGAAACAAAGCTTGAATGTGAAGAATAACTGGAGTTGCAGGAAGGAACTATAACACATGGGTATCTCTAGAAAACAGCAAAGGGAATAACAAAAAAAAGTCACTTCAGGGACTGATCCTACAAAGTGATTAGTAAAACCCTGTTGCAGTTATTCAGAAAGAAAAAACTTGATTTAATAGAAGTTAAAAATTACAAATTTTACCAATTTTATTAAGCTATTTAAATTTATTTTAAAAATAGCAATGAGAGTAGGCAGATGTTTATTTTTCTGACTTACTGAAATGTATTCTTCTTCTTGACACTGGTTACAGCTATCTTTTGCTGATTTGCAAAAAGATTACTGTCCCTTGCCCTTTGTCCTACCTAAACCACACTTTTATCTGAGATGAGATAATTTCTGCAATGCAAGAATGTCTGCACTAGAATTTGTTTGAAGTTGATTTGTGGAAAATTAATCTGAGGTACTGGAACGAAATGTTTAAGAGATTAGTCCTTCCAGTAGAGAGCAAGGCAAACAAAGCTATAAATACCACTCGAAAGTTGTTACCAGTGCCTGTTAAAAACAGTTCCAGAGAACACCAGAGGAAGATAACAAGTGCATATTCACAAAATACTAATCTACAACATTTCCAAAAATGCATTAATGCACTGACTGCTAATCTACACAGAAGAATTTCACACCATGTAAGTCTAAAATGTACAAAACTTAAAACATTCTAAACCTCAGGGGTTCTTATTGTTTCAAGTCTGAATCCTACACAACCTTGTAACTTTTTCATGCTTGCCCAGGTTTCGTCACTTGAGCATCACATGTGAAGATTTGTAAGAAAGGTTAAGTGCATAAATAAATACTTGTGGGCCTGGTATGCTAGGGAAGGACCCAGGCATCATCAAGTTGGGCGCAGTAAATTTAGGTTTCTTTATTGCTATTTATTGATTTTAGTGCTACATAGTTGTTAACTATGCTCTCCTCCAGTAATACATGTTGTCTCTGAGATTGCTGGGGTCTTTTATGCCTCAGGACATCTTGCCCTGCACTACATTTCCTATTCTTTTCTCGCACACAGCACCCCCCTTCCTCCTCTGCAAAATACTTCACTGGTGCTCAAAAACCTGCAGCACAGTGTGATTTTTTTTTCCTATTCTAGAGAAGTAAACTCTTCACTGCTTGCCTGGAACTACATTCMCCTAACTGAGCACATGGTTGACTTGACAGATGGCATGTCAGCTGAGTTAAACAAAACTCCTGGATTTTGAAGGTAAGTCCACCATAAATTAAACTATCTGACAAGGTCAGAAAAGAACATATTTAATGAGTTATTTGAGTTACACTAAAGTCAGCATAGCTGCAAGAACATATTAACTGTTCAGCATTTTGCTTAAACCGAGCATGAGAAAAATGTGGATAAGAAGCTCAGACATACTATTTCCTGCTCTTGTGCTGAAATGACAAATTTGTGATCAGCATTTTGTTATTTCCTGCCTCTATTTTTCTTTACCAAGAATACATGCAAGTAATAGAACAGAAATATATAGCCTCAAACTGCCATTTTCACTGGCCTTGAAGGCTGACCTTTCTTCTTTCAGAAAAAAACACGCATCAGTTGAAGAACTTCTGGACTTGTTCAACCAGGACAAATTAAATGACAGTGATTTAGAATAAAAACTTATTCACCCCTTGAAATGTGATAACATTYCAAAGTATCTCAGTACCTATTTCTAACTCTTGTACTTGAACTTTCCACAAAGCAAAAGAAATATTCATACAAGCAGAAAGCATACCTGAATTCCAGCCTCTTAGAAGTAACCTGACTGTACTCCAGAAAGTTCTGTATAATWAGTACTTTCTTTAGATTTCAAGAAAAAAGTGCCATGTTAGTTAACAGRATGACTACTAACATTAAATTTGTTGTCCTTTGACCAAAAAGGGCTCAAAGCTTATCTTCAGTTCACTAGAATGTTATCTGGTGGTGGGAAAAAAATGAGGAACGTGACCAAGGAATACACCTGAAAATTATTTTAAAAATCCAATTGTATAAGATTTTGGACCTTGTAACAGCTGCAAAATATGTTCCCAAGAAAGCTGACTTTATGCCTTTTCCATGTGCTGTGATAGCCCCCTGTCACAAAAGAACAGGGAACTGGAAGAAGAACACAGTGAGATGAGTGCCTGCCGTGTTCACTTGTGTGTGCAAGGTGCCAAAGGAACCATTGTTTGTCATTCCATGCAGGGAATTTTAGCTGGAGAACTAAAAGRGTTCAGCTCTGAGCATGGACTGAGGAGAACCCAGAAGAGAGGAAAGCTGATAAGCAGTGAGGAAACCTTATGTTAAGGACAAACTGATAAAATTGTGTGTGTTTGGTCTAGCAAATAGGGGATGAAGGGCACACAAAGAGTCTGGAGCAGAGGCAGTGACCATGCAGYGAGGAAACAGAGTACCTGGGCTGCTCTTGTGCTTTGTCATTCASGACTGGCTTTCAAGCAGGGGCTTAAAAAAGATTTGAAGGCCATCATGAAGACAAGCTCCTTCCCCACACCCAGAGAAATTAGCAATATTCATGGAACTTTCTTTTATCTGATCAAAAGTGCTTTAGCTGATGAAATTAATGTAAAAAAACCAGTGATTTACTAAGCCTTTTCTTTCAGMCTGTTTAATTTAATTATGCAAACTATAAACATTTGAAGTGATTTAAGGGGAAAATAAACGTATTTTTGCTGGGAGCTATGTAACATGAATATTTATAACTGCCCTGTAACTCAATCACTATTTATTCCACTAACACCTACCTGTGAAGTCATGTGCCTGTTAGCAAGTCATCTGTCAGGATGATGGAACAGAGATAACTTGAATTAAAGTGCCCCGGAGGTTATTTTGACCCTTTAGAAACAGTGTTTCTTTCAATTCTAAAAACAAAAGAAGGTTCCCCTACATTTCTGCTTCTCAGCAGACCATGGTTGGTCATCTTCTCTCAAATAAAATGAAAATTTTTCCATTTTTATTAAAATGCAATCTTTATCAAGCAAGATTTCTGTCARTCCATTAGGCATCTACCAAGAGAGCCACTTCACAATAATGTATTTTCTTCCCTCTTTTTGCATGAAACCACAGGAACATTAGAAAAAACCCTTATGGCATACAATGTTAAAACACAAACAAAATAATGGAAAAAAAAAAAGGTTTTTACTTGTGCTGAACTAATACGACCTCACACAGAAATTTGATTGTTTTTCTGATAGACTGCATGTTCCAGACAGGTTTTACTAAACCCTGTACGAGATGAAAAGATTTACAGCCAAAATRTTTCAACTCAGGGAAGCTTTCTGCAAAACAAGGCATTGCTCCACTCTCCTCCCTTCTGCTTTGATTCCTGCAGAGCTGGTTCAAATGCAGTCTGGCAACTCTGGCTGAAACCTTTTCTCTCCACTGAAATCAATCATATGCTGGTATTCAAACCTGCAGATTAATTTGTTTATCAAAAACTCTCACTTAGTAGAGAATTCATGAAATGTACAAGAGAGGAGAGATTTGGATRCTGTTTTATATCATRTCCTTCAAACCTAAAATTACATTTMATTTTCTAYGTGATATATAKAAYAGSATTTTAACTTTTCAGCTGTTGCATTTTAATGTAAGAATGTATTTAGTAAGAATGTTCTCCTGTATTCCATTTACTAGCCTATCAGTATAGCAATTTCATTATTAAAATCAGAGAAGCATCTTGAAAACACCTTTAAAATCATCGAATCTAACTTCAAACCTAACACTGCCAAGTCCACTGTGTTCTTAGCTGGTCTGAGACTATTTTGGTTAAAATCTGTCAGATTCTTCACCCAAGTTAGACCCCATCAGTGAAAGCTGTCATTTCTTGTTCAATGTTCTTTCTGTCCATCCTCAGTAGCACAAGGTGCACCCGGCCTGAGGCCAGACCTCTCCTGCTTGTAACAGCGCCAGTTAACTGTACCAATGACTGTGCACAGACACAGCTGCAGAGGGAAAGGTGCACTATAAATTTGAGACTTTGGGATATGCTTGGGCATGCAGACAGAAGTTTTCTTGTTTGTTTTTTCAGCTGGCTATTTAATCACAGATATTTTTATTGGACAAAGGAAGCCTTTTTAAGGAACAAAACAAAAGGCAATTATCAGGATTTCACAGCTGTAATTTTTTACTGTATGCTATATATTGGGTTKAACTCCAACAGCATGCAATGTAGCTGTCTCCTGATAGTTTCAGTACAATTAMCTAATTGTACCTAATACAACTTCAGGTTTTCTTTTAATGACACCTTATGGTTAGCTACAATTTATGCCATTCTAGCATAGAATAATCCAAAAAAACAATTTCCCCAATGATACAACACTTCAGTAATAAAATTTGTTCTTTGTAGTAAGGGCAGAGCTGTTCATGCAGTGTGACACTGAGCAACCCATGTGACCAAGTGACTGTCATGGGGCGTGAGGACACTTGCGGGACTCCAACCATAAAGTTTCTTGCATGAGATGACACTGATGAACCTCTTACARATAACTTGGCCATCTCCTATAGCTTCAACATAAGCTGAGGTCTTCCACATTTTCCGATACTAGTGACACTGAGGTAAAAATAACTCCCTGACATCCACGAGTGTAATATGACACAAGYAACCACGAGGTTTAGTTTCCTTTATCCTCCTGCCTAAGCTCTGACACTAAAGCCCAAGTGCTTGCTTTCACCTCACTTACTCTTCCAGGCTCATGTAAAAGTAAAGACAACAGTGTCACCAATGCTCATATGTGATCATGTTTCATTAATGTTACTGGTATTCAGAACGCTGGTAATTTGTAGGATTTCAACAGAGAAAAAATAGCTCTAAAAAAAAAGCAGTACATTTTAACAAAAGGAAATATTTTCTTCTGGAACTAAAGTATACCTGTGAGTAGCATAGCTTTCAGTGTTTTCAAAAGTTTGATTTATGGCACTTCACAGTATGTGACTGGGAAGCTGAAAAGGCTTTTCATAGTTCTGGGGATCTTGCATAACTTGGGAAACTCTTGGTAGTTCTTAATTAGTTCACTACGATTTGCTCTRTGGGATACTGTACACACCAAGTAATCAAGAGCCAAGTGGGGAACAAAGGAGCAAAGTGCAAAACACTCACAAATAGCCTGCTGAGAAATCACTTCTGAAAAGTTAGCAAAGTCAACCATCATTTTAATTTTAGGGCTGGATGCCTTCTAATATTAGCAAAGAATGAATTTGAAATTGGAACAACCATGCTGGCAGATAAAAGACTAAACCCATTAATAGGGCTATGCTATTTACTGCAAAGGCAAATGGACTGGCAATTAATCCCTAATCTTAAAGACTCTCTAAGCATTTTACATCTCAGTTTGTAAAGTGTACTTTCAAATAGTGAGACTTTCTGAAAATCTTCCTCGTGGAACTTGAAGTCTTGGGCAAGAACTGAGTGAAAACTTCAAAGGTGTTCTGATCTTCCATTTGTGAAACATGGTTCTTTCTTTTCCAAGAGTTTATACAAACTTCTGAATTAGAACTCATTTGTCACCCTTACCACATGTACACGAGTCTCTTCGCCTTAGAGGCAAAATGTATTAGGTCAACATGCATTGGCATATTTGATTTGCACACTCTGTGTGGAATCTATGAAGCAAGGTCTTTGGGATTATGTTTTAGAAAACTTTACTTTTAAAGACAACCTAAATTTGGGTCAAATACAACTACAGAATCCTGCAGAAGTCTGAAAGTTTAAGGAATWATGGCTGCCCTTACTATCTGTTCATCCAACAATTGTTCCTGCACTGTATAGTACTGTATTATTATAAGTTATCTAAATAAAATGGCAGAGAACTTCATTAAAGGTCCAAGTTTATTTGGTTTGTACAAACATYTCAGGGTAATTCAGTAATWAAGAGAAAAGTAACAGGAGTGCACYAAAARCAAAGACAGAAGAGTGGGATCAGTACCGATGGGGTTGTASTGTAATGCTGCACTCAAAGTAGCTCTGCTAAGGAACATCTGGTTGTATTTAAATGGCCAAGTTTGGACTCAGCATGATAACACAAACAAAATGATGACATTGGCTTCAGCCTCTAGTAACCAGCTGCTTGCAAACAGAGTATCCTTGCAACTACTGCTGAGTATGATCAGAGTCTTCTAAGGTTCCTACTCCTACTTGTTATCAGAAAGACAGATGCCACAAGCATATCAAAAAAGCACTGGAAATAATACAGAGGAATCTATAACAGAAAGGAACTTTGCTGTTTTGAAGAAAGTCTGAGCAGTCATATCAGGAGGCCAGAGTTACATAAGATGAAAAAAATACCCAACCCAACAGATGTCTTTAAACTGTCTCATCCAGAAGAAATTTATTTAAATTCTGTGGAATTGCATTACAAATACTATAACTAAGAACTTCGTGTTCTTCAATCATAATACCCACATACTAATTTGGGACCTGAAACAAGAAAAAAATACTTAAGATCTATTTCTTACAGCTACAAATCCTCCTTAGTTTGTTTTTATACATAATCACTTTTAATAGCCTTCAAAAKAGACATGGACAAAGAGCATTATCTTTAAAAATCCCTGCAGCATTGTAAGACTTGGTGAAACAATGATTCAAACTCCCATGTTATTTCCAGGAAAATGAAGACTGTGATTCACTCACTCTCATTAACAAATAGCCAGATGCTCATGAAGTTAATTCAATATAGGTAAGACAATTTGTATAAACAAAGGGTAGGGTCTCAAAGCTGAATGATTTAGTTGTCTGAAACAATAAGTCAAACCATCTGTTTTAAAACAAGGATATGTACAAAGGACTATTTTTTTCCAAATAAACTCCCAAAATTAACTGGGAAAAACTTGATGTATTGCACATTCCCCTTGTAACAGAGAGAATAAACTTGTGAACAAGCACAAAGCTGATATATAAGGTTCAAAATTCACTTATATTTAATAGCAATTTTACCTTAGTTTTATCATGTTCTAAAACCATTTAATGAATATCATTAACTGTGCATTCAGTTTCCTGTAATCTGATGCTAGTTAAATTTGGTTTGTTTAGGGCTATTTAATTGCTTTTTTATTCTTGAAGCTTTTTGAGTTGAATTACATTTTCTAAGATGTATGTAAGTGGCARTATTAGTCAGACACAAGAAAGCAGATAGGGCAAAACTCACAGATTTCACCAAAACCCAGTCTGACTTTGTTCTCACTGGCTAAAGGAGATAAATCTTATCTTGATTAAATTTGTATCAGACAAAATCCTAGCAGAAACAAAATCCTTTAAAGCTTTTTTTTGTCTGCTAGCACTTAGAGAATACACACTCCTGTATAAACATAACTTACCAGTGGCCATTTATGGAGCATCAGGGAYGAGCCATACAATTTATGTAATCTGTAACAAGAGAAGAAATGAAGTAAGTAAGACTTACATTTTGCTTCCATAGTAAAATGGAAAAAGCAATTTGTAAAATATGAACCTTACCAAAATGGACAAAAGTATCTACCTGGATGATTATTCTTAAGTTTGCTTCTGCTCACTTGCAAACATTTTAGAAGTATTGTCTAGCCTTATGATGCTGTCCGAGCTTGGATCTCTCATACAAATCTTGATAGTGTTCTAAATTTTCATCATTCAGAAGGTGAACTTCTATTTAGAAACCCACAAATGGGCATTTTTTACCTATTTCTTGTTCCTAAAGGTAGTTTTATAATTAGCTCACAAGTCTATTTTTTTTAAAGAGTGAATTTTGTCTTCAGTAGATTCAATCATGAGAGAGTGTAAAAGGCAGTCTAACAGCAACTGACATCAGCTGCATCTTTTACATTCACGCCTAATCCACTTTTTGATTAACGTGCAAGACGACTGCTGCAAATACCCATCTACCTGGAAATCCTGTACTACAAAACACAGAGCACTAACACTTGTACAGCAATGACTAAAACACTTGYACAGCAATGACTAAAACACTACTAGCATCTAATGACTACTTTCTGGTTCATATTATCTTTGTAACAATAATCAGGTTCACATTGTAAGAATTTGATTATATTTTGGGGATGTTGTCTACGTTTTTATCTTCTGTCAGTGCTGTATAAGTGGTTTAAAAAAAACAGGTCCCGTATCAGTGCTGTTAAGCTCCTAGAAGGCAGCAGACTGGTTTTGTTTCCTGCTTTGCAACACTGTCAGTAGCTTTAGCAGGTAATAGATTTAGTAYAGTTTGTGTTTGACAAAAGCCAAACAAACAGTTGAGACAAAGGTAATTAAAGATGATCGGGCTCCTGCAAAGGAGAGCTTGTTTTGCCATGATGCTTTGCAGTTTAAAATAAAGTCTAATGCAATTATCTTCCCTGTGTACACTTAAAAAGCCAACTTCTAGCAAAAAGAATTTTTTTATTCAAATACAGTGTAATGAATATCTGGAGATAAAGATGAGGGCAGCAGTTTCTTGGCAGCACATGGTCTCTGTGACCATGAAGCAAAACAACTCCTTGATAAAACACACAACCTTTGAGAGGAAGAAGGATGGAAATCAGAAATGTAAGGCTGGTGGCAATAGAACCACTGCATTTACTAGCACACTTATGGGTATTACAGTGCATAGTTTGCCTTTCCCTCTTCTTTTACAGCCATACATKTTTTATTTGCCCCTAAGGTTTTTAACCACTTGAAAAATTTCACCGCTGACTTACTGTTTGAGGTTACAGATAATAACCATGGACTGGGGGAGGGACMGGTAATTAAATTGTTTCGAGGGAGGCAACCACTATCCTGTCTCCSGAGCAGTGTTGTTCTTTCCAGGCACCGGCCACCCCTTTCCTCTCAGGGAACAGCAAAAAAGGCAGTAAAAGAACCTTAAGATGGGGCTGTGGGCCGGGGTTTAGTGGCTCAAACAGGATCAAGCTATTAACCTGCTAGAAGAAGGCAAGAAAGCTTTCATTACGCTACACCAGATAAATCTACTGAACGGCCAATTCCTTACTATTTTATTCGGGCACCATGGGCTACTTTTAATCACGATTCTGCGAGGCCCATTTCATGTATTTTAACAGAGACAATTTTGGGTGCGGCTATGCCCCTCTTGGGTGATGGAATGCATCAACGGTACTGTTCTAAGGGCTCCATTTTCATTCCTATATCCACTGGCACTTACGACCTGTGMAGTAGAAACCCAATATACCGCCAGATTTCAGGGTTTCCACCTTCTCAGGCCGGTCAGTGCCCAGCCTGAGGATCTCTCAGGTGTAACGCAACTTCAAGCGTTAAATGCGGCATGGTTAAACATGGGATCCCATTCCTTTTYGAAACGACCCCGGCGAGCAGGGATGTAACTCATACGGATATAACTCATGCGGGTGTGGCTTTGTGCAGCGTCGTCCGGCGGAACTTCACAGGAGCTCCGTGTCCCTGCGGCCCTGAGGGAGCGCGGGATGAGGACAGGGACAGGGACAGGGACAGGGACAGGGACAGGGATAGGGACAGGGCCCCCAGCTCGGGCCGGGAATGGCGCCGTTCCCGTACCGTCAGCCCTAAGGCTCTTCTCCATCGTGCCCCGGAGGGAAAGGGGCAGGCTGATCCCCTGCTCCGGCTGCGGCGGGGGAGGCGATGTCGGCTCTCCTCACCCATCTGTAACGGAGGGGCCGACGAACGGGCAAATTCCGCGGGGCAGGGGGGAGTTCGGGCCCTGCAAACACCTCCCTCCGCACCAGCGGGTACCGAGGGGTCCGGCGCAACCCCTGCAGAGCCGCTGGGCTTCTTGCGGCTTCGCCGTCCGGGAGACCAACATAGCCGAATTCAGCGGGGGCTGGACGGGGAGGGGCCCGAGGTGGTGACGGAGGTGGTGACGGAGGCGGTGATCCTACAACGGCGGGGCGGGGAGGTGGCGGCGGCGGCAGGGGCGGTGGCGGTGGCGGTGAGGGGAGGGGGGGGCGGGGCGGAGGGGCCGCCATCGCGTGTGCAACGGGCGAGCAGCATCCGGAGACGCCTGGCCCGAGGTAACGCCTTGCCGGCCAGAACAGCAACGGTGTTGTTTGGCGGGACCCCCGGTTGCCTCCAGCTCCCTTCACCGTGAGGGAAGGCGGGCGGGCAGCGGTCTCAGCGCGGGGGATGGCGGGCGCCGGAGCCGCCTGCCCTGCAGCATCTGGGGCGGCGGCCTTGGGGACCCTCATGGCTGCGAGTGGCGGTGATAGCATGATAAATTCTCTCTGTTTCTTTATTTTCGTTAGAGACTGCCCCAGCCCTAATACCCCGTCTGAGGCGGGAACACGCAGTCACTTCCTTTCCCCGGTGTGGCCAGAAGGCTTGAAATCTGGCTGCGCCTATKTTTATATAGAAAAGGAGAGTTACCACCGCTTGGAAGGCGGAGCGGGCACCGAGAGTGGAAATGACACCTTTCTGTGGCGGGAGTCTCTTAGGGTCGATGGCGACAGCCCCTGGAGTCGTGCTTATGGCGACTCGAGGGTGATTCACGGGTTTCTTCACGAAAGACGCTTTTTGGTGGTTGCAGGTAACTGCTGTGTTAGCGAGCTATTGCAGGGCACTAGGATGGGCTTAGTGAGACCCTTAGGGGCCAGCAAGCTTTTGCAAGCCTGTGTTTGGAAGTGAGTATGATTGATCATGTGTTTAACCTGATTAGGTGTGCCTCTTAAGTTGCACCTAAAGAGTACACATAGGTGTATAAGGCTGTACACATATGCCTCTTGGCATTATTTTCCACCCTTCTGAGAGGTTTTCACTTTTCTGTCCCAGCACGAAAAGTACAAACTCTGCTATTGTCCCTTTTGTCTTTACCAGGGGCTTACTGTGTAAATTTCACCAGATGTTCTTGTCATTGCTGCAGCTTCGTGAGCTCCCAGCCTAAATCGAGACTGTCTGCAACCAAGTCCCTGTTTCGAGCTTGCTTCTGTTTTTTCCTCGGAAATACAAAAATAATGAAATACATGAAAATACAAAATAGGACTTGCTGCAATACTGAAAAACTATCAAGTAGAAAATTTGCCACAGTAACTTGGTTTTCATACAGTCATTCTTATCTCACCAAACAAGAAAAACACATCCTAGACAAATTCTAAGCCTTTCCCACGTAAGTGAGGAGTTCCTAAATATATACACTGCAATGAATAAGCATTTCTGGGACTTACAGCCTTTGCTCTATTGGTGCTTAATTCCCTGAGACTGATGCTGTTTGCCTGTATAGAGCACTCTTCAGTCTTCCTCATAGGGCCAATTGTGTTCAGAAATAGGAGTCTTACATCTGGTACATGTGAATAGCTGAAGTTTGTATGTAAAGCTATGTTGCAACAAGAGTTTTATGCAATCAACGACTATGGAAGATGGGAAAGAACACAAGAAATCGTTGCTAATGAGCAGGTATTGTATAAAATCACAGCAAAACACAGCAATCTTTTAACAGCTTGGTGTGTTCACCCTGGTCACTTGCAGGTTCATCCCAGGTCGGACAACTGACAACTGTTCTGCTCAGTGGGAGAAAGGGGTTCTTGACAGATGGTTTCTCTTTCCCTCCTGTTGGAGGAGGGCCACCCTGTAATACAGTGTTCGTACGTTGCTAACTGCATGTTAGATTTCATTAGCTCCACTGATATCTGGCCAAGGTGTGATCAGCCTTACCAGAATATATATTTTTGGTGAAACAGTGAAGTGATCCTAGTTTCAGGTCACTCTGTTGTGGTCATTTCAGAGTCAGCAGAATCATTTCAGTTAAAAAAAATCTACACATATCAGCAAAAAGATTTCCTCTCAGCTGCAATAATCAGCAAAACAAAAGAGTTTAAGACACAAGGGTGAGTGGTGAGGAAATGCATGTTAGCTTGTGTGAAGGCAGAACTCTGTATTAGCCATTGCAGTCCTGTGGCCAGGCTTTTGCAGCATTAGAGGTAGTTGTAATAGTATTTTTAGCTGCAGTATATTAGGATTATTTTATATTAGAAAATATAAGCTAAATTACTAAATACACATTTTATCATTTACATAAAAGTCAACATGTAGCATTAGAGATGCATCAGAAGGCATCAAATTCACACTTATAATTAGACTAAAATTTTTCCAACTTCCAGAAAATAATCACTGCTATTTCAGAACTTAAAAGCTTGAGTGCTATAATGAGGCACCTCCAACAAAATTAAATTAAGTAGGAAAGAGGGATGCACACAGTTTCTACAGATAGGTGTGCCCAAAACTGCAAAAGCAAAGCAAAACAAACTTACTGCACCAATTGCTACCTGTTTCTCTTGTTATGTACTCTTCCATCTACCTTGTGCCAAATTCATTTGCAACCATTTATGGGCTGACTTTTTGTTATTGGTGTGGCTGTGAGCTAAGTCTTCAAAAAGACATGTGCCCTATATAATCACAAGATTGTTTGCTTTACAAGAGGAAGTTCAGTTATCTTGAAATGTGTATCATTATTAATCAATTATAAATATGCAATCATCAGAAAGCCTGTGCAAAACGGCATAGAAAACAATCAAAGCAGATGTTTTCATCACTAATTTGACTGTAAGATGTGGATTTAAAAGAAGTGGATTCAATTTATTGTGGCCCATAAAAATACCATTCAATATGACACGAGTTGCAAATGTTTTTCACAAGGCARTTCACTCTGAACAAATGTCATAGAAGAAACAAGAATACTACAGCTATTATTACAACATYAACTGCCATTTGAAAATATGACACGTTCATTTTCAGAACTTACAGCAAAAGTGTAAAAGTGTGTAAATATGTTAAGTGATCACAAATGTAAAATTGCAATTTTGATCGTTAACTACACAGCTTTTTGATTTCTTGCTCACATATCCTAATAACCATTCCCATTTCTTAACACCTTCCAAAGTACAAATTGATCAGAAGCATACACATTGCTTAGAATACTGAGGCAATTCGATGATTTGATTAAAGTCAATTGAGTAATTGAAATCACAGCAAACCTGACGTGTTAATGCAGGTCATAGATTGGAGTTCACAGGTTAACTACCTGCAGCTACAGCGTCACTCTTCAAATGCCACCACTTGAATCAGCAGCACGTGACTGCAGTTCTATATTTTGTTACAGCTTTGCGCTACTCTGCTGCACAACAGAAGGAACAATCACAGTATTTCTCAACCTAGCCTGTTTTGTCGATTCTTCTTCCTCTCCAGTCTGCTTCTGTTATTCCAAATTTTGGGAGTCTGCCGACAACTAGGATTTGCATCAAGGTATGTGCAGCAGCTTACTGAAGATTTGGTCTCTGATTCTCTTCTCTAGCCTTGTTTGTTCTATAGACTTTTTAAAACCTGTAGGAAAGGATCTCACTTTGCATTATTTAAAAGAACGTAGTCTCTAAAGATTCATGAGTTGGAGATGAGTGATGTAATATTTTTCAATAAATAATTTGTACTCCATTACCATTGTCACTGCCCCCCACCATATATGGGTATGGAAATACATGATACCCCAGTTCTGCAAGTGGGCATGTGTCATCCTCAATTCAGTGTTCATGGGGGTCTCCCTCTAATGAGATACCATCATCTTCATCATGGTGGACTTCTCACCTTTGCCTTCAGGGCATGCACAGTTGTGATATTCATGGTTTTTTCTAGTCCTCCAAGTCTTCATTTTCCATTTTTTTTGCTGACTGTATTGTGCCCCTGCCAAGTTCTCATTAGTCCTCTCTACTGTTCCTTATTATAGCATCTACCTGTCTACTTTCTTTGGAACTTTTTCTGATTTATGCTCCTTGGCGATTCTGTGTGTCCACGTACTAATCCAGCTGGCTGGATTACATCCAGCTGATAACACTGTATATTGCTAATGGGTATATAAAAACTTATAACAATATATGAAAAGGCTATTGAAATATTGAAAGCTATTGTATATCAATAATATGTAAAAAGTTTTAACATTCTTATATTGATAATGTATAAAAAAGTTCTAGAAAGTTTTCAATCAATAGGCCTCATAAGCACCTTGTCACTTTGACATAAACCATAGGTATCAGGTGGAAAGAAGATTCTGTGATAAAGTCATGGGATAAAAAAACGTATCGTGATTTCAAATGTCTATATTATGTTTTAGATTGCGATTTGAAGTGGAGAATTCATAGAACTTCCACAATGGCAGAAAGGACAGATAATACAAAATCCCAAATTTCACTGACTGAATACAGCCCCGTCAATAAATCAGAAAGGACAGACCCAAGTGGAACACGAGATGGAGACGAAAATGCATTGCAACTGAAGAAAGAAATATCTTTGATAAATGGGATAAGCCTTATAGTAGGCAACATGATTGGTTCAGGTATCTTTGTCTCTCCCAAAGGAGTTCTCATGTACAGCAAATCCTATGGATTGTCTTTAATAGTTTGGGCAGTTGGAGGAATTTTCTCCGTCTTTGGAGCTCTCTGCTATGCTGAACTTGGAACGACTATTACAAAGTCAGGAGCCAGCTATGCATATATCTTGGAGTCTTTTGGGGGCTTCATTGCTTTTATTCGTTTGTGGACCTCGCTCYTAATTGTTGAGCCGACTAGTCAGGCAATTATTGCCATCACCTTTGCTAATTACATTGTTCAGCCTTTCTTCCCTTCCTGTGACCCTCCGTATTTGGCTTGCCGCCTCATAGCAGCTGCTTGTGAATGTAAGTATTTCTTGATATTTACAATGATAAGTTTTTATCTAGGATATGTWTTACTAAATCGTACCAAAACTTAGAGTTGTGCCATAGTGGAACTGCAATGGTTTGAGATACAGTAGGGAAAAGAGCAATTTCCAGTGCATCAATAATAACTTGCAGTGAACTGGCATTTTCTCATTTGGAAGTAGAACAAGGTATTTAACTCTTCCAAACTTACTTGCATGACAAAAATGGGGGTAAAAATTGTTCACCCTTGGGAGAGGTATTATAAATCAAATCTCAAGTACTCGTGATGTAGTCTTAACAGCTATTGCAGAATGGCTCCTGTGCTATAAATCTGGTGAAATTTGGTTTGCAGTAAYTTCTCAGTGGTTACATGCTTTAGTTACTACTGTGGTTTCAACTACTGTGGTTTCAAAATATCGTTCATTCAAGATTATTCTTTATACTTGGGATTAACTGTAACATCAGTACAACAGTATGTGTTGTAAAGGTATTTTGAAAAGCAGTTTTGTGTGCACATAAAACGTTGAAATGTTGGTAGTTATATAGCCAGCTCTGTTAGTCACTATAGAGGAGCAGCAGTCCACACACTTCAAATCAGGACTGTTCTGCATGATAGCATGCAARAAAGCAGGAGAGCAATTTTAGAAAAGAAAGAGGAGATGTGGCTTATTCAGGATATTGATTATCTTTTTTTTTTCTGATGGGGTATCACAGATAGAGTATCACTTCATCTGAAGTAGAGMTCAAGCTCTAACTCACTAATAATTTATCACTAATAATTAACTCACTAATAATTAATCCTCATGAAAGTTACTTTAAAAAAATGTGCACAATAACCCCAGTGAACAAATACTGCAATCACTAATACTGAAGAGCAGAGACTGAGCAGACTTGCTTTTTTTCCTGAGGGCTCTGAGAGCTGCAGCAGTCTTTTCAAAGTCTTTTTGACTTTTGAAATTTGATATAACTGGCTTTTTTTTCCCACCTCATCTTTGCAAGCTCACTTGAACCTCATGGCCAGACTGTCCGACATAMTAGTGCCATACTTTTCAGATCATTACCTTTCTTTTGTTATCTTTTAAAAATTATTACCTTTCAGTTTGGTAGTTGTGCTAAGCTAATTTTTGTCTTAATGGTATCATAGCATTCTTGGATTATGGAAAAGGAAATAATATATCGCATATTTTTATTTAATTTTTATTTGCTACTACCTTTCCCCTGGAACAATCAAGTTTAGTTTTTAATTATATGCATATTTAAAATACGGAGTACAAGAAAATTCTTTGAAGATAAAAAGTACAGTAGTATATAAACACTCTTTCACAAGCTAGAGAGAAAACTGATATTTGAGGGAAATGTGTTTCCAACTCAGATGTTTCAATAATATAGTGATAACCTGGCTAAGAAAATATGTACAGAATTAGGATTTTRTTAAATAAAGAATACTGAAGATACTGAATCCTATTCAATATACCGCCCTCGAGTTCAGGCAGGGGTTGTCTGGCTTTCCATTTCAGAAAAGTGCAAAAGCAAAATCCATGGCAACTATTTTGGGGAAGTTGAGCATGTGCATGAGCTTTGTCAGCAACTACAAAATATTTGTGAGAWCTGAAAGTCTCATTTCAGGTTTCATTACAATCTTGTGATATAGGTCTGACCAATTTATTTTGGGATAGAGGAACAAATACATTCAGAATACTCATTACTTCCTACCAGTTCGTAAAAATCCAGACTGCTGTTGTATTAGCTGTAAAGTGTGTGCACTTTGGAGCCATCGAGTGGAAGGGACCTTGAAGATCAGGTTGGAAGGGACCTTGAAGATCATTTTGTTCCACCCCTCTGCCAAGGGCAGGGCCACCTTGCACTAGAACAGGTTGCTCCAAGCCTCATCTAACCTGGCCTTGCACAATTCCAGGAATGGGGCACCCCCTGCTTGTCGGTGCAGTCTGAGCCAGTGCTTCATGACCCTCACATGAAGAATTTCTTCATGAAGGCTAATCTAATCTACCTTCTTTCCGGTTAAAGCCAACACCCCTTGTCCTACCATTTACAAGGTACCTGACCTTGTAAATGATTTGGTCAATATGTTCTCTCATCCAATACATTCCTTTAATACAGGTCACTAAATCTGGAAAAGATTTGCCTGTGACTTAGCATTGCAGCTGTTCCATGGATGTTGAACTCGTCCTCAGCCTRACAAGGAAGCATAAAAAAACTTAGCACACACTCTTTTAATATGCTTTAATATATTTGCCTAAAGGAATTTCTAGATAATCTTTCATTTTTCAGAACAATGTAGATACATTGAAATTGTTTCATGTAGTATTTTTTAGTTTCAGGATAGTTGCAGAGTGCAGCTGATAAGGGGTAAGGTTAGGAAAATTCAATCAGAGAGCAGGAAGGTCTTCCATATGTTGAAACTGTTTAAAACATCTGTTTCCTGCTGTTTAGTTTGAAACAGTTGTGTTTTCAGTACCTGTATATTTGGTTTAGTTTTAGTATAATAGTAGTGCATATTTAAATTACAAATAAATCTTTGAAAAGTGAGTTAAACTGAACATTGTTCAAATAGTCATTAATTTTTTTTTTGTTCCTCCCTTAGGTCTTTTAACATTTATAAATTGTGCCTATGTTAAATGGGGCACACGTGTACAGGATATATTTACTTACGCTAAAGTTACTGCTCTTATTGTCATCATTATCACCGGACTTGTTAAAATATGCCAGGGTAAGCTTGTAAAATTAAACCAAAGGTTTGTATTTATCAGTTAAACTTGAGTAACTGGTCCAAAGACTGTAAACTACCTCTGTATATTTTATGAAATGCCTCAGTTAAAACATAATAGAGCGACCTTAAAGAGACCAATAATACCARTGTTAGGCATTATCATGAAATTGTGTCATGACATATCCATCCTATCTCAATTGACTTTGAACTTGGTAAAAGAACATAACTGATTGCTCAGCAATGTTGTGTATTTTACAACCTGCAGTATAGAATAAAGGAAGTGAAAACAGCAATATACCAAGACAGCAAAATACAATGGGAGTGGAGCAAGTGTTAAATTTCTCTAAGGAACATGCTACCTTGCAGCAATATCAACTGAATTTTTTACAAAATGAATTTTGTGCAATTTGAAAGTGTCTGAMCTTAAAGCAAAAATAGATTTCTAAGAATATGTAGGTAGATTTGTGAAACAGCAGCTGTGGTTTTGCTCAAAGCCTGAGTTCTGTTGCAGCTGTTCAGAATGAGAAAGTGTATGTGTTGGGCATGGTGCCTTCAAATTAGAGAAATTCTGAACTTAGTTCTGTTCTTAGCCCTTCCTTTGGGAAGAATTTGTTGGTGTGTTAGCTTAAGAAAATTATCCTGCTTTCAAAGCTGCCATAAAGGTCTGTCTTCCCCTGCAAAACTGACAATTTGTGTCCTTTGCTCTAACTGGTTATTGTTGAAAGCTCATGAGCAAGGTAACTACTGTGAACTGAACAAGAATATGCATATGTGAGCACCATGTTTAATCCTTAGCACATCAGCCCATCGCTTGTTTCGTAGATAATGAGCTTGTTCATGTCCAATTTCCTTGACATTGTTTCCTTTTTCTAACTCAGCTGTTCATCTGCCTATGTCTGTGCCAAGAGAATAGCAGTATCTGTTTGGGATAAAACGTAGGGAACAGAAATTCATTAAGGTAGAGGCCTCACATACTACCCTGGCCAGTTTTAGTGGAGTCTGAACACTTCAGGATGCATAGTACAGGGCATRTTTTGGAGTTACAGAGTAACTTGCCTTTCTGTTTTTGGCAGTTTTGTGTGTGTCTGTATATGTGAAATAGTATAAATATGTAAGCTCTGAATGATGAGCTTGTCTTGACTTGCTTAAAGACAAAAGATAGTACAAGTTTTCACAAATACGGGTCCAAAAATGTAACTTTTAGCTTGGGAAAAATTTTATCAGGTGTAAAAGTAATACTTCATGCTCTTAATCTTCCTCAATTTTCTGTTTTTAATAGCAAAAACTAAAACATCCATGTAGGTGTTTGTGTGGGGATTTCTTGTCATTGCTATCTAAAATCACCAGTAACATTTGTTTTCTGCATAGGATATAGAAGAATAGAGTGGGTTATTTTCTAAATATGTATGTTATAAAAAAYGGCCCTTAACCTGAGTACTGTCATTGCCAGTTGTTTTTAGCTTAGTGTGAACTTAATGTTTTTAAAAGTCTTGCACCATTGTGGACAAAATAGGTGTTTAATTGTAGAACAGTATCATACACACCCAATAATGTTTAGGAATTTTAGGTGTCATGCTTATTCTTATGCCTAAAGCACATTGTAGAATTGAAAAAAAGGTCTTAATAAGCAGATTTGAAGGAATTAGGTCTTCTAAAGTGTTTTTGTAGTTGTGTGTCGCATTGAAAAACATTGCTGCTGTATTTTATTGTCCTTCATTGCATCTCTTCCACACAGGATATGTGTCACACTTTGAGAACTCTTTTGCGGGATCTTCTTCTGATGTTGGAGACATCTCCCTTGCACTATATTCTGCCTTGTTTTCTTACTCTGGCTGGGATACACTCAATTATGTAACAGAAGAAATCAAAAAYCCAGAAAGGTAAAGGATTTGAGCATTCTAAACCTAGGCAGTTCCCAAGTTGCTGGGTTTGTGGCTCTCATTCACTAATGAGTTCTGAGCTTACACAGAAATGGGTGGAACTGCTCTATACTTRAATGGTGAGGCTGTGAACAGTCATTAGCAAAGATTTACTAAACTCCATTAAAAATAAAAAGAAAAGAAAATGTAAGAATAAATAAGTGTAAATGATTGCAGGATGCTGGATGCAGAGCTTTCAGTTCAAGATGTTGCTACTGTTTATTATAATAGGTATCAATATTGCAGTGAAAGAGATAGCTAAGTGTAGTCTGTTTACCTGTGTGATCATTCTGATTTAATATTTAAAAATGTCAATTAATTTTTTCCATTAATTTATGCTCTAAAAATGTGACTGGCTCATCTTGGTCAGGTGCAAGTCTGTAAGCAGATACCTTTATGTTAGAATAGAATCTTCTTCGGATAATTTTTATATCCTATTATAAGCAACAGCTCAGATTGCTATAGCTGAATGATAAAGAATGAATGAGATTTTTCTTTTCCAATTCTCCCAACAGATTTTGACTTTTGCAGTTTATTCTCTTCTGTGTTGAATGTTGAGTTTTATGCTGAGCAATTATCTAACCAGGAAAGTTACCTATTAAGAAGATAAAATAGTAGATAAGTATTATGTAAAAATGGTTATTTTTAGTCAGATTGAATTCCAGATTAACAGTTTCTTTAAAGCCTCTTGCAAAAATTTGATATACATATTCAGAAGACACATGTTTTGTATTTTCATCAGTCATTTGGTCCTTCAAATCACTTTTTTTCTGCCAAGAACTTCCTTTTTTTGAGTACTGTTGCAATGCCTTTTCCTCTTTTTAAAGTTAGTATATTGTTCTCTCCTAACAGTTGGATAATTCTTCTATTAGATGTATTCGAAAAACAACTTTTCTCACAGGATATTTAGCTCATGAAAATGTCTTCATAATCATTTGCTCTAGATAGGCATCAGTGCCTTACACAAGCTTCATTCTTGGTAGTACAGTAGCTGATAAACTGAACTTCAAATTCAGCTTTCTGCATTGACAGCTCTTGAGAATAATGAGGTATTCCAGACTTCTACAAAATTACTGCAAGAATTATCTATTTTTCATGTTCACTTGATTGGTAGTGCCTTCATGCTTGTCCACCCAAAAGTTGGAATCTACCGGTTACATTTGACATAGTTCCTTGGCTTTAAGTTTGGATGATGCAAAGTCCTTAAAATGCTATTTCAGCTTTTTGTTACATTGCGTAATATTGCTGAATTAAACTCACAGTTTTCTACTTGTTTCTTCTCTGTGCTGGGATTCATGTGTCTCTTGCTGTGTGTGTGCAACCTGGAAGAAGAGTCAGAACTCCCAGTTACTAATTTACTGATTTTTATGGAGTATTGTGGTGTGTGTTTGTTTTTTTGTTCCCATGGCAGCAGACAGACACAGCTGGACTTCTGGGCCTCAAAAAGTTTTTGAGGAAAGTTTCAAAGTTCTAGTCAGACTGGTAATTTTTACACTTTGGGGTTTCATTGTTTGGCCTTTTTTTGTTGTTGTTGCAGAAAACAAAGTTCATGGCAAATGCACATCACTGTCCCCCYGCTGCCTTGGATTTCAAACTGGGCAAATGTGAGAGTAAAACTCTTGGTTCTGTTCCCTGTTTTAAAACATTTGAATATTCYTGTGRGTTTTGACGGAAGAATAAGGTTGARAAAAGCCAAACCTTAACATKAAAAAATTGSTTCTGCTCTGTAGTTTCTTTCTGTGGAACTGCATCTGCTTACATCTGAAGGCTGGCAGTGTTTTCCTGTTGACTTYTTTTTATTACTTTCTAGGCATGTGTTTGCTAGTAAGAGACACCACATGTTGAGGTTCACAGCTCTTCAGCAGTTTTAGATCTGCATCTCTGTTGTGCAGCCTGGTTCATTTGTTCTCTGCAGTGAGTGCAGATGACAACAGGGGTGATAAGAACAGGGGTTTGGTTAAGTAGATCACCTGCATCAGTTCTAGAAGTGTTAGCTGGAAGGACAGCCCCACTCCCCATACCCAGAGCTCTGCCTCTTCGGGTTCAAGTTGTGGTAATAAACACGGATAGCGGGAAATCATTTAAAGTGTGTAAGTTTGAAGGCTGTTGTTTCAGATCTGGAAACTTTGGAGTTAGAGTATCTGAAGAGCAGTTGCATAGAATCGATTTTTACACATAATTTAGGTTTTAAATTACTGTAAAAGTTAGAATATAGAATATAGAAATATAGAATGTCTTCTATATTAGAATTTCTAGTTTTAAAACAAACACTGGTTCGAAAGATAGCTTTTTTTTAAACTTTATTCTGACTTTATAACTTTCCTGTCTATTGTGAACAATACAAATAAATAACTTTAATCTGTTACTAATGGATTTTTTTTTTCTTCTGTGGTTGTGGGTTTTGGAGTATTTCTTTTTTTTTTTTTATTTGTCTTACAGGAATTTACCACTGGCTATTGCAGTATCTATGCCTATTGTGACTATTATCTATATTATGACCAACATAGCTTACTATACAGTGTTGGATGCTCAAGCTGTTCTCTTTAGTGATGCTGTAGCAGTGGTAAGTTGATTTTGTGGCATTTTGCTTCATTATTAACTTTGCACCTTTTAGGGGTGCATTTCATTTTAAGGGACAAAACAGGAGAAATCCCTAGTTTATTTTAGTACTTCACATTTGCTGAATACAGGAGGACAGAAGAATTCATCAAAAATAATTTAATCTTAAGTAGGAAAGATGTTAATAAAATCATGTCTAATAATAAAATATTACCAGATTTACTAAAAGGAGCACAGATGCATCTTGTTAGTGTACTTTGCAAAGTCGCTAATTAGGCTTGTGCACTTAGAGCTAATTGTAAATTAAGACTCCTTAGTACATGATTGTCTTTGTGTTCCTTCGTATTGCAGTATTCCAAACCTGGAGCAGTGTTGCTCTGAGCTSATGGTGAGTGCAAAGCTTGTCTGTAAATGGGTGTGTGGCAGCTCAGCCATGACAGTTTACCTTTGTATCATCACTGTCTTCCCAACACCGTATTCATTTCAACAACTTTTAACATTTTGAAATTCATTATTTTTGCATATGGAAGGAAGTTTGAATCCAATTAAAATATATGAGCTTTTTAAAGTAAAAGSTGGTAAAATTATGTTATACTTAAACGAATTTTGAAACAAAAGTAAAGGGTTGGGTTTTTATTTTTCCCTGTAACTAATGGATTAATTGGATAGTTCTAGTTGCTATATCCTTTGAAGTTGAGACTTCGGAAAATTTTATCTTTTTGGCTATTTAAATTGGAGGTATAGAAATAATACCCTGCCTCCCATTTAGATTCCCAGTTGGCTTCTAAAATATAAGTAATTAGACAGTGGGCAGACAGTTTTAAATACATCAAAATGAAGGAAGTATGTGCTCTGTTCCCACAGAGGATTATTATAATTAAAAATCGGCTTAGCAAACCAGGAAATTCTTGTTTCGGATATATGGGCAGACGGTTTAACAAAAGCACTCACTTGACTTTATCTCAGACTTCAGGAATATTTGTATTTAGTGTAAGATTTCAAAATAGTTTATGGTAAATGTGGGCTGTAACTTGTTATTTCAAATGTAGTTATACAAATGTTTATTTCAACATGTTTTGAAAGTAAATAAACTTTAATTCTTTACCTCTTTTTAGCAGGAATATACAAATACAAAATTKTCATGAAATATATTGTGAAAGCTTCCTAAAACATTTCAGAGTGAGTCAAAACAAGGACAGAAAATACTAATTTTTGAATAAACATGTGCTAAGGGGTAATTTATTTCTGTTGTAGGCTGTAGTATCCATATAAAGTATCCTCCAGTGACAGATAATGGAGTTTTTAATACTTCTCTGTAGTTACTTAATCCAGACAAATCAAAAAGCCAATACACATTGCTCTATCTGTCCTGATTTTTGTAAAGCAGCACAGTTTTTTCCCTAACAAAATAYGGAAAGTACACTCTTTTGACAGCAGTGAAATTCTCTAATCCAGCCTATCCCCTGAGAGTATTCTGTGCCTGCTTTTGTCCTGCCCCTTGTCCTCACAGAGGTTTATTCAGCTGTTTGGTGAAGGATCAGGAAAACTGCCCCACCCTGGGAGACTGGAGGAGTGATTAACTGTGGGTCTGCCCAGTCCCTGTTGCTAAACACAGCAAGTGACAGCATTACAGCAATTGGTGACCAGATAAAGACAAGGTGATGAATGTCCAAACCTTACTGTACATGTGAAGCTCAGGCCTAAATTGCTATGATTTTATAAAGACTTTGCTGAAGCTAAACGCTGTGGACCAAAAAGCAGTAAGGGGCATTAATTTTGAGAACTGCTTTAAAAGTGCACTTGCAGTTCAAGTTCAAATACTTAATTCAGGGGAGGAAAAAGAGCTAGCGACTGTATTTGAAAAGCCTCCTATAATACAAAAATGTAAAAATCTTTATGGTGAGTTTTCTCTGGGTKGTGGAAGAGTTTTATCCTCAATGGAATCTTTTAAGAAGGCTTAGRGCATTGTATTCAGTGGATGAATAAAGAAAGGAGGTGAGAATTAAACTATTCAAAAAAACTAATCTGATGAAWCTGAGCCACTTTCACCTGCTGACATATTCTACACGTGATACAAGTTATGGATTACTTATGGATTACTGCCCTTTATGTAGTTGGTGGAGGTTGGTGTAGGGTGAAAATTACATTAATGRATTTTTAAAGAAACATGGTACTAATATTGCTGCATTTTAGAGTCTTTTTTTGTAGTAAAGCAGCAGTTAAATTTAATTTTTCCCTGTTGCTATTTGACAAGGAATGGAGTAGCTTTCTCCTTTTCAGTGAAGAGGCTTTGWGCTGTAAAGGGGTGGGGTGAAACTATTTCTGGTTTCTGAATAGACTAAAAGTTCTGAGTAAAAGAAGTATGAGTGTATCTTTCCACATCACCTTGTGTGTTCTTTTTCTTGGTGACTGTGAGGCAAAAGATATCATACCAAGGGATTATATGGGAAAAAAATAGGTAAAATGTCTTCCTTTTAAGACTTCATTGTGGTATAGCCCCAGTGCTGAGGCTAAGAAACTAATTTTTTAAAGCTTTTTTGTTGAAGAAATTTAACTAATACAGCAACAGCTACTTTAAAAGTTCTGCAGATGCTCTTCAGATGGTTGCTGGTCATCAAATCACTCACTTTTTCAATGATTCCTGTCAGACTTTCACATTTGCCTTCTGTTATGCAAACCATGACAATCTTTGCTGTTATATTTTATGCATATGAAAGTTACTGTGAAGCAGGAACACAAAGAAAAGCAGACTCTTTTTCTCACCTTTCACTGAACAGCCGTTTTTTTGTTGTTTGAGACTACTATTGTGTCTTGTTTGTGAAGGTGGCAGCTGGCTCCACAAGTACTTTCTGCGCGGTTTTATCTGCTAACGGGAAACACTGGCTGCCAGTGCAGGGCTTGCTGCCTTCTTCCTGTGTTTGGCCATGTCTATGGTTTTTGATTGAGTTCATTGAGTAGGTGATATTTGACAGCTCACTTCTTTTACTTGGAAGAGCTAAAGTGTTCGAAAGAAACAGTTGTCCTGCATAGACATCTTGGAGCTGTACAAYTTTGTCAGTAAACTGAGGCTAAAGAGGACAACTTCGGTTGCATCTTTGAATGCCATCTTGTGAGTCCAGTGTAGATCAATCAATTCACTCTGGTGCTCTTGTGTTCTAGAGCAGACTTGCTTTGCTTTGCCATGCTCCCTCAATAACTGGAATGTGGGAGGCCCATGTGTTTTGCTGTTTTATTCTTCTTTGGTGTATAGTCTAATAAATGTTGAGTCTCTTTTTCTGACTGAATTCAGATAGAAATTTTTAAGTTCTTCGTAGACCTTTTGGATATTACTTCCCTCATTGGCTTCACTGGCTATTTTTCTAAAGAGAAAAATCTGCTTGTCCTTAGCCATCAGTGTCATGTTCCTATTCTTTGCTTGCACTGGCACTTCTCAGTAAGGTTTCTTTGGATAAAGTGCACATTCCATACCTGACAAATGAACAATTCTTCATTAGGGGCAGCCAGTTGCCTTTAGAGGGAGAGCTGTTCAATGAGTCATTTGCCTTCTTTCTGGGAGCTGGTTGTAATTCACTGCCAGTACAGCACTTCCGATCCCAGTTCCATGGAAGTTCTCTGGCCTTGGAGTCCCAAGCTAAGTAATATCTTCAATTTGATCCAGGTAAGAGACTGGGAGCACACTGAACTCTTGTTCAGCTAGCTAGCCATTAGAAATGCTAAGTACAGGATAAACACCTGCGAAGGTTTGGATCAAATATCTTCGACACTGCCACGGAAATATAAATGGAACTGTTTTACCTCCATGAAAAATACAAGTGGAACTGTTTTACTATTGGAGCTGACATTGGAAATTTTACTGTGGGATGTACAGAGACATCTTCAATTCAATAGGAATGCCATATATTAATGCAGCYGAGAAGTACTGATTTCTCTTACTGTGTGATTGTATTCAGTGACCTAAAAGTGAAGCAGGAATTTTGTGCTGGACCTTGCACTGCATGGGTACCTTCTTCTCAGTAAGGGCCTTGCCTATAATACAAGGAGAGCATGAGTAGAATTGATCAACAGCTTGGTGATTGACATGAGAATTACAAGAAACACCAACATTTAAATAACTTTCTTTTGCTCCTTTACAATTTTCTAACTGTTTTTGGTTGATGTGCACTCCKTCTTCGGTATATGTGACATTAAATGTAATTTGGTTGATGGGGAGAGATGTTATACAGTGTCCTGACAATGTAATGTATGGCAGTGGAGAAAACTTCATCTGCTCAGTGGCTTTRTTTCTATGTGCAGCTTCCTGATTGCCATAAATCAGGAAAATTGTTTCTGTTAGGAAATAGCACCTTAGAGGCCTCAGAAGCTCAAAATAGAGAAAACGTACTGTAGTTCTGACTGCCAGATTTTCCTGTAATGTGTAAATGTATTTATACTTTGCCTCAAGGGAAACATCAAAGCAGAATTAATTGTTCTTCCAAAACATCAGTCAGATGGCTAATATATGTATATATATATCTATATATAAATCCCTCTACTGCTCTGTATGATTTTCAGGATAAGATTGTTATAGAATTGAGCCTGAAAAAGCTCCTGGCCAATGGGATCTTGAAGAGAGTTACATGAAGAGGCTCTGTAGATGCTTTTTAAACTTTCCTTATAGTATTTTTTTGTATAAGTTTCTCATTCATGTTAGACAACATTCCCTTTGCATTTATCCCTCCAATCCATGCTTTGTCAGCCTAGCATGTGCCTGTAGCTTCATCCACTCTCAGTGTAGTCTGACATTTCTTGTGTGTCTCTAAGTGCACTTCTTGTGTGCAGCTAAGTTTGATGAAACAGTTCTTATCCTGTGATTTGTAACATGAATGTGAATCTTGTTACTCACTGTGTGCCTGAATTACTGAGTGTRAGGCAGTATCCTGTGTATTTTGTTGTGGCAGCTCTGGATGTGGGGGATTTCTGCTGCTTTTAGTTCAGCCTGTTTGTATAGAACTGTTGTTTGGACCTTTAAAGGACAAAAAAGTGTTCTTGCAAATCATTCACAAGTTAACAGCTGATGATCATGAGATCAAACTAACCCAAGATAAAAATAAAATCTAGTTTAATCAGTTATTCATGCCTGGAAACAAAACTGTAATTCAGTTTTTGACCATTCTTCTGGGAGTAATGTAACATTTTAGTCATGATGAAATAAGGGCAGTTCAGTTGAGAAKTGCATGGCTGGAAGCCTCTTCTTTCATTAGTGTTCCCTTATGATGGTTTGAAAAAAAAAAAAAATCAAAATTAAGGGGAACAATTCCAGGTGCACATCCTACAGTGTGCATGTATCTATGTATACCTTACATATCCAATGGATAGAAGAGCATAAAAGAACTTTATCTGTAATCAGCCCCTGAAWATTCTGYTTCCARGCTGTTAGAAACAGTTATCATTCAAGTCTGGACTACTGAATTTGTCAGACAATAGCAGAGATGACAATTTAATCTGTTGATCCTTCTTGCTCTTTAGACTCTCTCAGAGGAGCGCTGAGATGATATCCATAACCACAGTGGTGTCTTTCTCCTGTTATGGTGGACTAAATGTTTCTGCTTATAGCTGCCTCCAGGTAGGCTCCTGTGTCATCCTCCACATACCTTTATGAATGCTTCATTCTTCCCCCCATTTCCAGCTCATTTGTTTTTATAAATGCACTTCACAACTCCCAAAAGTACTGGTAATTGAAACGGAATTGGTGAAGAGCTAAAGCTCAGAGCCCAGGTCTGGCTCATTTGTGAAGGATCCATGACTGTACAATTGTGGTTTTAGCAGAAAACAGTAACCAGTAACTCTTCTCTCTTCTCCTCTGCTTCCCTTCTTGATACAGTGTGTGTGCTTGATAACTTGATAGTGAGTGGCACTTTTCTCTGCCCTTCCTTCTTTTGCAAAATAATCTTCTGATATGCACAGAGTGAATGTTTATTGTTGCTGGTTTTACTTACACTTCAGTAGCTCTTTCAGCAAGAAACGCTATGGAGATCTTTGGGTTTGTCTTTGTTTACAAGAGACCATAGCTGGGATTCAGAGAAGTCATTTCTTGGCATCTGTTGAAAGTAGAGCATTGAAGGATTTATAAATTTGTACTCAARTGTCTGAGTAGTAGTAATGAACTTGGCTGATTTTTTGTCATAAATGAGGGTGAAACCGTGAGAGAAAACACCTGCATAAGGGTCGTGGGTCTTTACTGTCATATTAAGCTGATTATTATCACTAGACAGATTAGCCAGACTTTGATACCTTTCAGTTTTATTTTGCTGAAAGATCATTTTGCAGGCAGATCTACTTGGCAAACCAAGCTGAACTTTTTTTAGATGATTCTCAATTAAAATACTTTTTTGCATTAGCTCACTTAGGGAAAAGTTTAGCTCTTGAAGTTTCTCCACCCGTTGCTCTGTCTGGAATCCCAACTGCAGCGTTAGAAAGTCCATTGGAAATGAGAGTGTTAGGTAGAGGTTGTCACTACATTACTCTTTCTCTTGAAGAGYCTGACTTGTACAGATCTAGGGAAATTACTTATTTAGGCTTTAGGCTGAATCAATAGTTGTTGTAGAACATGCAGAATACATTGGATCTGTAGCATTTTGATCTGTATATGGTTTGTGGTTTTTACTGCTCATATGAATGATTGTGGTTTGCCAAGACGTGTGAAACAACATTAGCATATCTTAGAAAAATTGGATGTAAATCACAGGATGGAAATAACCTTTGAGTTAGTCCTGTACCTGTCATTCACACTGGCCYGTTACCAGATGTTTCAAAAGGAAATGAAAAATGCTTGCAAAAAAACATCTTTTGGGAGAAAAAATTTTTCCAAATGATATTAGCTAATTTGCTTCCTTCAGTCAGARTAAGATTACATTCATAGGCTTTCTCTCTCTTTAGCTTCRGCTGCTAATGTTACTTATCTAAATGCTTATCCTTTGGGCAGTTTTACTAAAYATCTTAATTCTCTAACATCTTATTCTGTATCTTAATATATAAAACCAAAAAGTCTTCTAGGAGCTTTGTGCCTGGTAATTTCAGGTGCTGTTTGGCTTCAGAAATCAGCAGTTCAGGTTTAAACATTSCTTTAAAATATTACAACAAATGCATATTAGAATTTTCATCTTGTCCTCATTCTTGTTCTGGAGGAGTTGTCTTAATTCATTGACTGGATCACAATAAATTACATTCTGTTTCAGGAGACTTGGTTTCTCAGAGCTTCATTTAGATGCAATAAGGATCTGAGAGAAGCACTTTGGGTTCTAGAAATTATTTCTTCCTGAGCAGCAGAAATCTTTTAGATACAATRATGTCAATTTGACTTTTCTCATGTTATTTTTTACAGTATCTGTAGGTCTCAGTGTATTTTTCCACCCCTATGCTGAAGCTCCATTTTGAGGGAAGCTRTGCTAAGATGGATAAACTAAAAGAGCTCAGAAAAGAAGTGCCTTTCAGAGAACCAGGGTGACACAGTTGAATCATTGACTTTGAACCATTAGGCAGGGTTTCCATGGAAGTGATTACGTGGTGTTGCATTGTCCTTTAGCAGCAGGAAATTGTGGCTGCCTTTGAGGCTTAACTAAATTACACAAAAGGATGGAATATATTTTGCCTTTTAGCGTTAATGATGGTACACAGCAGAGTTGGATTCTGAGCTGTAATCTGGATAATGTACTGGATAAAGCACTTTATCAGTGGGGGAAAGAACAGGAAACTTTAGCTGGCCAAGCTTTGATTTATGTCAGTGAATTTCTCAGCATCTTGTGGTTTAGAGAATGACATTACATACATATATGTACATATATATAAAGGGTTTTGTCCCATGAAAATCAAGCACTCGTGTAACATAAAAAACGTCAAAACTAAGCTAAGTCATTTAGGCTTTTTTTTACCTACAGAAACGCTAAGGAGATAGATCATAATGCACTGGTCTTGACGATCTTGTTCCTGGAGTAATTAAAATTTGACCACTTTTAAATCTAGAWATTTTTATATGGTACAATAAAGGCCAGTTCTGAATATTAATTACCTTTGATTGAGCTCCTTAACTCATAAATGATATGATGAAGACCAGTGCTTTGAAGGGGAGGTCAAGGATGAGTTGTTTCAAAATACTCAAATAGTAAAACGGACGAAAATTCTTACAATAGACAAACCTGCAGAAAGCTAATCTACTGTATATGCTTTTTATTGCTGAGTGTCTTGAAGYTGATAAAGCAAGAGAGAGATAAAGTGATTTAGAGAAAGGTTCATAAAAAGTTTCAATTAGTGCTACTTGCTAAGGTGTAGAATGTTCAAATCTTTGTTGTTTGCTTGACTACTACTTACACATAAGAATGTACCTTTCTGTTTTGATAAATAGTGACTTCATCCTGTGTAATGTAGACGTGATTCTTTTGCTCAGCAAAAAGAAAAGTTAGTTTGCTTCTGTAAAAGAAATCATGGATGGGATTTTGTCATCAGTAGGTAGAATTGGGATAGGTGGGAAGGCTTCTACCCATGTCCTCTGAACACAGCACGAGGGGTGTCTCCCTACCTTCACACAAATGCTAATGTCCAGATATGTACAATGCTCAGAACCAAGATGGGAGTTAGAATACCCATCAGTCTTCAYGAGTTGAATTTCTTCATTTTTCATGTGTTGTCTGATGCTCTACATCTCTCTCCCTTTTTTCTCTGTCCAGGAGGCTGAACAGAATAGACCAGGACAGTATGTTGCAAATTATTACCCATTTCTGTTATAGACCCAGATCACTGGCAGTCAGTGCCTCTTACCACTTGCTGTGAAACTTTAATGCTCCTGACTTCTTGGTTTCAAAGCTCTACCATGGACAGTCACCACAGTTACTTGCAGTACTTTCTAGCAACATTAACAAATGACTGCTGATAAGATCACTTGCTCGGTCATTTGCAAAGTTATGAGAGTAGAGCCCTGAGACCCTGCCCTGAGGTGGAGCTAAAGGAAAATGTGTTGCTTAGTAAATTGCAAAAGAAGGAAAATGAAATACATGCCTAGAATAGTGACTATAAACTGTAGTCATGATGTTGGCTGTGTTCACCCACTGCAATATGGCACTTCTCATTTTCAGTAATCTGGAGAATGTTCACATGAGTTCTGTGGGTCAGTTAGATAATAAAATATAGTAGGATTGGTAAGAAAACTCAAAACATTTTGTTTTCCTTTGTGAGCATTATTTTTGTGAGCAGAAAATATGACTTCAGATGCTCAGCTAAAGAAGTTTGTGCTTATTTAGAATCCATAAATAAGTAAGAAAGCTATATGGTTCTTTGTGCTGTATTATGGACTATACCTACTATATTACTATATTATTTTTTCCATACTAATATATTACAAAAGCTCTGATGTCATGTTTTACATATTCTTTTTTGCAGATATTTTCATGTTTCGTTTTCTTTTCCCTTTCATCAGACATTTGCTGACCAGGTATTTGGTGTCCTCAGCTGGACAATTCCCATTGCTGTCGCCTTTTCTTGTTTTGGTGGACTTAATGCCTCAATTTTAGCATCATCAAGGTAGCGCATCTCTCTTTCAGTTTGGCAAATGTTCGTGAGTCTTTTTACATGTTACTGTTAACACTGATCTGAGAGTGGCAAAAATACTTTTGTAACTGAAGCTATAAGGAATAGCCATAAGAAAACAACAGATCTAAATAAACCTCTGTGTGTGTGTGTACACACACCCTTAACACTGCCTTGCTTTCCCAAAGCATTCCTGAGTGTAGGCAGTGCACAATTAAAGATCAAAATAATTTTGTCTGTGTGGTGAGTCCTCAGGCCTTCTGATTATTTGCATTACCTTGCATATTACTTGATAGTATAATTCTAGCAAGTTCTTGTTTTCAAATGTATTTACCTGAGACTTACTGACCTTTTAAAATCAGTATTTTAAAACTTTGTACCTGGAATATCCTAAAAACTTGCTACTGCTATGAACCTGCAGTCAGAAAGTTTAGGATACAGTGTACAACTTTTTCTTTCAGTACTGATTGTGAATGTAACTAGCAAAAGTTTTACATTTACATTTTACATTTAGATTCATTCTCTCTTGCCTATGGCCTTAACAAGCCTTTTCTTACTGCCTTTTTTCAGGCTGTTTTTTGTCGGATCTCGGGAAGGTCACCTTCCTGATCTGCTGTCGATGATCCACATAAAGAGGTTCACACCTGTGCCAGCACTGCTCTTCAATGCAAGTTGTTATTGCTTTTCTTTCAACTGATTAGATGAGACACACAGCACAGCTTCCCTCAAAATGGAGCTTCAACACAGGGGTAGAAAAATGTACACAAATATATATGTATAAAAAATAACACGAGAAAAGTATAAAAGAAGTAATCTGTGTACATATTCTATTTCATGCTGAAATTAGAACATCAATTTAGCAGAAGACTATGCCTTAAGAAATGTGTTCTGTATGCCATGGATTGCATTTTCAGCCAATTGAAACAGCAACTAATAACTGATATTGCATCTAAAAGATTTCTGCTGCTCAAGAATAAATAATTTCTATAACCCAAAGTGCTTCTCTCAGATCCTTATTGCATCTAAATGCAGCTCTGAGAAACCCAGTCCCCTGATGCACAATGTAATTTATTAAGATCCAGTCAGTGAATTAAGACAACTTCTTCAGAACATGAATATCAATTATTTAAAGGAAAACTTAAATCACAAGAGACAACTTAAAATATACTGTCATCAAGGTGATTGCTGAGAGTGATTTTTTGAAGTATAAAATGATACCAAACATCAAAGAGTATAAGGTGTTCGTTAAAGGCAAAAAGTAACATAAATAAGTTTCAAACTTCTGGTTTTACATTTTCACTCCTGTTCTTTTCTGACAGTGTTTTATGACCCTTATTTACCTCGCCGTGGAAGATGTCTTCCAGCTTATTAATTACTTTAGCTTCAGTTACTGGTTTTTTGTTGGTCTGTCTATTGCTGGGCAGTTGTATCTACGGTGGAAAGAACCAGATCGGCCCAGACCTCTTAAGGTAATACTTCCTACACAATTGTTTAAAATCCCTGCTTTCCATATAATAAACAAGTATTGTCTAAAATCTGGACCTTACATGTTAAGTCAGGACATAAAGCATGGTTTTCATTTGATGTACCATGAAAGTCAGTTTATCTGCTAGGTAAGAATGAGATTGTTGCAATAGTATACTCTATTATTATATGCTAGTTTAATCAGTATTCCTTCTGTCTGCCCACTGGAGAGTGTCTCAACAGGCTAACATACAGTTAACCTTTTATCTTGCAGTAGAAATCTGATTGGGAATGCTTGGGTTAGGTCATTCAGTCTGTAGATCGCATTTAGCTCCAATGATACCTGATCCTCTAATGAACCTTCTCATACTTKAAGTTCATATTCTATTCCAAAATATCACTAATTCTCGTTTCCCAAGTTTTACTGGTTTTATCTAAAAACACTTCATGTCACTATGCACTTTCTTTCAGCACAGCAGTTACCATACTTGATTATTTTTCAATTTTTAGCAACAGGTCTGTGAAGAATCATTCTTCAATTTGCTTATGGTCCTAAATAGCCAGATATATGAGAGGAAGAGCAGATAATTTCACAAAGTGGGTTTCAGAGAGAAAAGTTTGTGTCATAATGTTTGGAACTGTAGACAATGAATATTTTATTAACATTGTGTTTTGTTTTTTCTGTCTGCAGCTGAGTCTGGCTTTCCCAATAATATTCTGTATATGCACAGTATTTCTGGTGGTAGTGCCACTCATTACTGACTTTGTAAATTCAATGATTGGAGTTGCCATTGCTTTATCTGGAATTCCATTCTATTTCTTGGGAGTCTATTTACCTGCATCAAGRAGACCTCAATTTATTAACAAGATTATGGGTAAGTTTCTTTGTTAGCTGGAGATGTCGTTAGGAAAGAAGAGTAAATAGGTGACTCATGGCGTGTTGATGGAACGGGTTGTGGTGAGCTGGCCCCAGCTGAGATAGGTGGCTCTTGTTCTGATCTATCTCCCATTTCCTGTGCAGGTGTCATCACACGAAACATGCAGCTGCTCTGTTACTGTGTTTTAACAGAGATGGACCCAAATGAAGAAATTAATTTAGAAATCAAATCCAACTAAAGTTTAAAGCTATTACAAGAAGCAGGAGGGAGGACAAAGCAATTACAAAACCAAAAGAAAAGAAAAGAGGTAGAACTGGAAGACACAGGAAAACTCTTTTCGATGGTCTTCCAGAAATGCTGAAAATGTTCTTCCTTGCAGATGGATTCCAACATAGATCGTGTCCTTGGGTCATGCCCCTAAACTGTGGCATGTTTTCATTGGATAATGATTACCTACTCATTACCTACTCACACAAGCTGTGTGTCAATACTGTTTCTTCTTCAGAATTGGTATGAAAATGATAAGAGCTAACAGATCAAATTAGATTTTTGCAGAACCAGATGGTAAAGTAATGCATTATTAAGTTAGACTAAAACCCACTTTGACTCCAAAGACCAAGTCACTTCCAGCTTAATTCTGATGGATGTTTGCATGAAATGATTTGCTGTGCTATCTCAGTTCTGCACTCAGTTCTTATCCCAGAAGACAACTGSTCACAAAAAACGACCTAATTTATCATTAGGAGCAGAAAAACTAATGAAGTTCTCCATTATTTAAAGACTGAACCAACCTTTCCCCTTTGAGGATTTTATTCTGTATGGTACATAGAAATGTTTCTGACTGTAGCTAGGATCTAATCAGCAAAACACCTGGTCACTAAAGATTTGATTTATAGTTGATGATTTTTTTTTCTTGTTAACTTGTTAGTACTTTGCCAATTTCTGCTAGGTTTTATAAAATTTCCAAAATTAAAATGTTCAGTTTGAAGCCTGTAATCATTTATTTTTGAACTGTTTCAGTGAACACACCTTAGCCCGAGTTAGCTCAGCAGTCAGAAAATTCCCTTTGTAAATTTCAGTACTGTTCACTAGAAAATAACCATCCAAAACCTCACAGAAATCCCTGTGGCAGCAGCTTGAAAGCTGACTAGCAGGAAGAAAAGCTAGTAGAAGAAGAAGTAGAAGAAGAAGTAGTAGAAGAAAAGAAAAGTAAAAAATACTGTTGCAGCACAAACATGCTGATTTGTAGTCTTTGTAATTCSAAAGCTGTAAGCCTAAAATCAGGACACTAAATTTTGGTGCAGCAAAAGGCARCAAGAAGTCAGCCTGTTTGGCAAGTAAAGTGAGATGTACTTGAAAAGCATACCTGGAATTTTTACCTTAGTTCAGGATGTCTATCTCACTTGACCTGAGTTTGGCCACATGGGGTTTTGTGCATTTCAGYTGAACTAAATCTTGTAATTACAAGATTATGGCTGAAGCCATACATTCTTCAAATGGTACRCCAAAGTTGCATCAGTGACTTGAGTAATAGTGGGGATATCTGGACATTTGCACTGGATATTAACCTTTCTCTGAAACAAACAAAACCAAGTATTTTGCCTCCACTACTTTGCCATTACCAGTCAGAACTAATTGGCCTAAGTCACTGCTGCAACCTAGAGTTCATAAATGATCTTGAGCAGGTAACAGCTAATCCAATTAGGTATTCTTTATATCAAGTAGGACAGTACTGAAATATTCTGCGTGTCTGAACAGGTATGATGGAATTGTTTTAAAGATGTATGAATGCAAATTAAAACGGTGACCTGGATTCAGCTGTACCAACTTCATTGATCTTTAAATGAGTAAAGAAAACTTGATAAAAACCCCTTTTATTTACAATTTAAATGCACATTGTTCTATTCCAACAGTAGACTGTGGAGAGTCATGGACAAGGCATTTCATATGCTCAAACACTTGTGAAGAAAGTCACTTGACACTTAGGAACAAATGAAGTAGAAACCACTAAGATAGGCTGCCTTTTCCCAGGACCTCTACTGGGCATCAAGGCAGACACTTTGAYCTTCTTGTGAAACTTGACACATTAGTCATGACTAGAAGGGCTGTTGCCAACAGTATCCCCATATATGTGGAGGTACATTTGCTACAGGTACAAACTCTTGGGCATGCAGCTTTGGGGGAAAAAAAAAATTAAAAGTCCCTTCAGAACCTCAACACACGCAATGGGCAGAAAACTGTATTTTAAAGCATACAGCATCTTATGGCTGGAACAAAATTTGTGTTGTCAAGTGGCCATACTCCTACCCAACTGTTTTAATATCCACCAGCTGAAGTTGGCTGCTCCGAGTACATTCTCCTACAGCAGCAGAATTCCACCTTCAGTGTGCATTTCATCTCCACGAACAGGCTGTTAGTCAGAACCTAAATCTTCAATCTCATCGTATCCGAATTCCTGCAAAATTTCCTGTCGGTATTTGTCCCATGTTCTTCTCCTGTAACATTGTTCCTCATCACTGAAGCTCTCATCAGAGTCTATAAGGAAAGCATCAAATTTTAGATTATCCCTCTTTTTATTTGAATAATTAAGCTAATCAGACTAGTTTAAGCTTCTTGAGAAACAAATGAAGTCCAAACAACTTCTGTACAAGGAGAGGTTTGAATTGTGTTTGAAGTACTCTGGCTTAGGGACTTAAGAAGGCAGAAGCAAKGTTTCACAAGTATATGGACCCAAGTCATGGATTCCTTCTCTAAGCCAGGAAACCTTTGCAATTGCAGCAGCTTCAATTTGACTTCTCAATTTTGTCTTTTMAAAAATACCAGTATCTCTTCTCAATCCAAGGAAGATAATCCTCCTCTACACAGATATCACCATGATAAGTGCAGAATGCTACCCCAACAATGCTCAGTTAAGTTGCTTTTTTATGGATAGCGTGTAAAAAAGGGAATGTACATGTGCACAGCAGGAAAGCAAACAGCATTTACAAAAGGCATACCTTTTTCTCCATCTTCCTCAGGAAAAAATTCATCTTCTTCAGGATAGTCATTACGCCAGTTATTTTCATCATTTTCATCATCTTCATCTTCATACACTTCTTCTGGACCAGGATCATCATTTACCTGCATGTTAACACAAACCRTAATGCTGAGTGTCTGTATTTATAGTGAATGTTGTGGGTTTTCATCCCCCTGTGCAACACTACACAGATCAGAAAGAGCCAGGAGGGCAGGCATAAGGAATTCTGCAGTGACACAAGGTACACTGCACAAAAATTTGAGTTATCACTATATTCACCATAACATTTCAAATCTGCTATAGGTGAAAAAAAATCAATTAACTCATACATCCTTAACTCATACACTTGTATGTTCCACGCCAGCATTTAAATGTTAATGTCTAACTTAATCCTACTCACTTCAGCAATAGTGTAATAGTTCAAGAAGAGAAAATGTAGCTTCAAGTTTCCAATACAAAAGTCTACTGATCACAGGATTTATGCAACACAAGACTAAAGCTTACATTAAACTCCCTAATTCCACAGTCACTGAAGAACAATTTATTACGAAAAAAACTCATATGAAGATTACAGTCCTCAAATACTAAAATAGTTGTGTCCCCCCCTTGCTCTTGTTCTCATTTAGTCATTTACAATGACATTTTAATGGCTGCCTCCTAATCACAAGCGAGATATTAATTGCTTCAGTTTACATTTGTGTAACAAAATTTAATTTGCAGTTTGAAACCAGATGGGTTCTTCTGATTACATGAGCATTATCCCTTCCATTTTGTCATGATTTCCTGAGCAGTAACCTGCAGGAACACGGGACTGGCAGTTACAAAAGGCCTAATGAAGAAGTCACTGAGCAAACATGTAGTATCCATCTTACAGGACCTTTCTTGGCATGGCAACTTTTAATGGTAGKACTTAAAGCATCTTTTATTTGTGACCTTTGTATTTAAGAAAGATTGTTTTTTGTACACCCTTACCCATTCGTATTCTTCTCTATAGGGCTGTACAGAAAGGATATTTTCAATCCAGTCAGGGGCTGATGTTTCCTTATAATAGATGTCGTAAACATATTCATCTTCTTTGTCACCGTGTTCTTTTTTACCGTCTTCAGAAAGATTTAAACGCTCACGGATCATCTCTACTGCATTGCAAAGAATTGTATCTGGATCAGTCTTCTGCTGAGGAAAAAAAAGGGTATTTTCACTATAGGCATGCAAAGTCTTATTTACAGCCAACAGCTTTTTTTGTAGCTAGCCAAGGATGCCACGCTGAAATCTGAAACACTTTCCATTGCAATGCTTTTAGAATATTGGCAACCTAGAACAGAAAGACACCAAAAATTTCCACTTACTGTAGTACTGTRCATGTTTCAGTAGTATATAATTCGGATAATAAAAGAAAACCATGACCAGTTAATAATTTCAATTAGAAATTATTGAAAGGGATGTGACAGCTCCATAGGACTCCTTTTTCTGCTGGCACACTGATTGAAAAGACAAGTTTTAAGACAGCCCATGCTGTGCAGAGCATTACACCTGCAGCACTGCAGGGAATGTGTGCAGAGAGTAGTGTGGATAATATGCAAACAGGTTACGGTACAGAGAGTGCGCAGGAGAAACAATGGAAATGTGACAGGTGAACAGAAGAAGGCTGGCAGATCCTACAGATACAGTTTTTGTTTCCTTACTTCAGCATTAGCATAGAAGAAATTTCATGTTTTCGCCTCTCTAATTAATTATTTGCAATGTATTTGCTTCAGTGACCTGCACTTGGAGATGTACATAGGCAGTTTTTTGCACCAGCTTTTCACTCCTAGAACTTTTTGTCCAATTCACAGTGGTGTCTCCTGAACTAGTTAGTTCTGAGGAGCAGCTACAGACCTGCTGTTCATTTTCCTTTTAATACTTAGGAGAACAAAGAAGAAAACTTACTTCTTGCTTTCAACACCTGCTGCTAGTTCTAAAAAATTTAAGAGGAAAATTCTGATACCATCTCAATTTCATTTTTTCCGAAACATTCCAACTTGCAAATATCTAGTTAAGGCTCCCATTAAACAGTGGAATACTTACAAAGCAAGCAAACTCCTACAGCAGTCTGCCCATGTGTACCACTCAACAGTGATACCAAAGTACTTGAAGCACACTGAGTTCACTAGTTAAGTTCGTGGCTGACCTGTGGGTTTGCAGAGGTTATGCTGGAGTCTCCCACCATCTCTTCTTCTTGTACAATATCAAACAGCTGGAATTTCCCACAGCCATCAGAACTCTGATCGACAGCATTGCTCTCCTCTKGTGAAGCATCTTCCTGTGCTCCAGAGTCTGACCTGTCCCCATCGAGYGCAGCCTCGCCCCGTGTGGCAGGTGCAGCTGTTTCTGTACAGTCTGGCCGATGGCTGGATATCACACGGTAACGGTTCTCCTTCCTTTTCACTTGCCTGGAAGAACGGAGTTCCTGCAGGATTCGCTGAGTGCTTCCCAAAGAGGGGCGCAGRCTTTGAGCTGCCTTGTCTCGTGTGATCGCATCTTTAACGTACTTGTGAACTGGTTCGTTCTGGGGAAAAGGAACAAAAAGGAGGAGGAATATGACACCGTCAACAAAACAAGTCATATTCTTCCTAGAAGGGATTAAGAACTGCAGTACCAATACTCCTAAAAATAGGCAAGTGACTTCTACTGTTGCTTTAAGCAACACAACAATCATAATACTCCCTTCTTATGAGGAGAAGTAAGCAGAACAAAAGTCCTAAAACTGATTCAGTGTGATTTTTAAATAAGTTTGTGGAACAGAATAACCCTCCGGACAAAAATGCATCCCCTTTGGAAGACTGCAGTGGACCTAAACTTAGGGCATAATATCCTTTTTAGGGTCCTATGAAGACCGTTTCCTAAGACAGACCAGTCTTATTCAATATAAAAGGCTGAATGCTGGATGGTAGTGGTTATCCTTGTAGGCTGAGCTTCAGCATCTCACACAGCAGAAATTCAGCCTTCACTTATTGCCTGTTCTGTAGTTTCTAGGCGGAAAACAGTCTCCAAGCATAGAAAAGCGAGTGTCACCGTGGTCACTGTGGCTGTGGACCTGCCGGGCCCGCGGCTGTCACAGCGCAGGAGGAGCCGCCGTGCCCTCGCTTCCCGGCACAGGACGGCTCTGCCCGGGGCCGGGCTACTCTCSACACCACCGCATCCACAGGGGAGCCTGAAACACGCGAGGAGCACCCAGAGAGMGCCGCTGCCTTCCAAACCCCTCCAGGAGCACCGGCCGGCCCACTTGGCCCGGCCCGGCCTGCCCCGGCCCCGGTACCTTGGAGGACACGGTCGCCACCAGCTTGAAGAGGTTGGTCTCCACAGGCTCGGCCCGCCGCCGCTTGCAGGCCAGGAGCAGCGCCTCGGCCGGCTCGGGGCCGCCGCGTTTCCGCTGGACGCGCAGCACGGCCGCCATGGCGCGGCGGGAAGGGGCGGGAGCGCTGCCACAGCCACAGCCACAGCCACACCTCGCGCGGGGAGCGCCGGGCGGCGGGGCGGGCCCGCCGGGACAGGGGCGGCGGCGGCCGGGAAGGCACACGCGGAGGCCGGGGAAGGTACATGCGGCTTGTGGAGGTGCCGGCCTGAGGTTCTGAGGAAGGGACGAGCCCGCGGCTTGTCGGGCCCACTGCGCTAGTTACAGGCAGCCGATGGCGGAGAACATTCTGCCGTCCCCCATCGCAGCTCGTTCCTGAGGCGGGGAAGGGCCGGGCCTGTCCCGGCCCCGGCGCGGGGTTTGCAGGTTCCCCCTCGGGCAGCGTGTGGGGACTCGGGAGAGAGGCGCCCCCGGCCCGACGTGCCTCACCTCCGGGGAGGTGTTTTTCTGTAAGGATTTACTGCCGGGTATTTTTTTCTGCACTGTTCTCAGTGAGTTGGAACTAGATGATCTYCAGGGTCCCCTCAGTTTGGRACTARTTGACTGATTTTAGCTTAAAACGMCCATATGAAAAAAGCGTRAAGCAGTCACCAATACKTCTGGCCAAGGCAGGTGTAGTAGGGGAAATGTACAMGTAACCAGAGCTAGAGGGATGCCTSTTGTKTTTACTGAAAGTTTTATGGTTGGTTTGTTTWKTTTTTTTTTKT